CTCTTGCTCATTGAAGTTCCAGAAGAGTGTAGTTTTCCAAAACATGTTCTTCTTTCTTTGTTTTAGTTCCTCAGGGCTGCTTTCTTTCCTATTTGCATGTGGAACTAAAACGACTTAGTTGCACTGCATTGGCACAATTGTGGAGATTGAATATCTCGTTTGCACAATGCTCACAGCTTGCATTCTAGACTCGTTTGCAAAGTATTTGAAGATGTTTGGAGTTTGAATCGATCATTGACACAGTATTTGGACCAAAAATGTTTCCCTTGTATTGGCAGCATTTTGGAGCTTGAATGTTTCGTGTCCAGTCTGTTGGATGGAGCAACATTTTCATGCCGTCGTCATGGTGGACTTTGTCGCATGCCATCAAAGTGATGTTGTGCTTGCGCTCCTTCATGATGTGTTTGTTCCTCGAGTTCGTTGTTCCGTGTGTATTGTTGTTTTGTTTCTCTGTAGGTTTCTTCAATTGTGGTTGTAGCTGTTGCTGTTGCTGTTGTTTTTGTTATTGCCTGTGTCTCTTTTGTAATTGTTGCCTTTTTCTCTTCTTTCGCTGCTATAGTTATAGTTGTTGTGTTGATAATGGTGATCTGTTGCATTCTGTTGCTGTCATTGGTGGTGATGTTGGTGGTGCCAGTGGCTGTTGCACTGGGGATCTCCCTTGAAGAAGATGATTTGGGCCTTTACTTTTGAATTTCTCCCCATACCCTGAAATTACCTGTACTTTTGAATGGGCCGGACTTCCTTGTGCTCACCCCGGGCCCCTGAAAGCAATCTGCCAAAATTGCGGTGCTTTTGTGTTCATCGTCTTATTTTTGCTCGCAGTGTTGAATTCTAGAAGTTGGTCTTCTTAGTTCTTGTTGTTCTTTCTCTGCCGAAAAAGTACACGAGGCATCAAAACCACAACACGTCGAACGCATCAAACACTGCAAGCTTAGAAAGCCACAAAGGCCAAGCCAAAAATGAACCAAATTTACAGTACCCAAAGCCAAGGAAGGCCATGAAAAGAGCCACAAGAAAACAAATGCTCCGAAAGCCTCGGAAGCCACCTGGGTACAACAAGAGCCAAGAAGCCGAGGAGCCAAGAAGCCAAGAAGCCAAGACAACTACAGCAAGCTGACCAAGCTGATCAAGCCTGGAAAACTTAAAAAGATACTTTTCCAGAATACATAAGAATAATACATGAATTCTGAGGGTGAATACCCTCTCCCTCAGACATGCTATTCATCCTTATAAAGAATGAATGAGCAGTGTGAGACTCAACATTTCCAAGCTCCACCATCGTCCAAATTGTCACATTGTCTTCAACTGTCTTCAAATGTCGCAGGTGATTCGAAGTGATGTCACACGTCACACGTTCAAAATATGATCAAAATTGCCGACCCTTGCACGCTCTCATCGAATGTCCAATACTCACTTGCACGGTACACAAATGCCCAGTAATGACCAGTGATGACCCAAAAAGATGCGGCGAACCTGCGCCAACGCAGGAAGCTTCTGAGTTGCACTCACAATACCACTCGTTGTGGTAAGTGCAGTTCTGGCGGGGAAAGGAAACTGCAAAGCGAAAAGAGACGGAAAGCATTCTGGTGCGGGTGTAAATCGCACAAGGCGATTCATGAATCGTCACGATTCATCTGTTGCTTTAACAGCCTGCACATCTAACCGAACGTTTCAGGTTTGTCTTGAGCAAAGAGAATGCGCTAGTATAGCAATGTGCACTTTACTGTTAAGGCAGTGTTTGGTGTGGCCAAGGAATATCTTAGCCTGTCTTCTGCAAGAAAGGTCTTTTTCGCTAGTGAGTCACTAGTGGTTCTTGACAGGTCACAAACACGGTTTGACGGATAAAGAACATCAAAGAACATCAAAGAACCACCTCATGCGGCCTGTGGCCTATACAGATCTGTACGGCTGTACGGCCACTGTACGGCATGCTGGCACCTGTGCAACGCAAACCGCCTCGCTTGGAGCTGGATACAAATCGCACCACGAATGGACGGTTTTCGTCGCCAGGAAGTCCTTGGGACCGTCACAGTGATGTCACACAATGGATTGTCCAGTGATGCAGACTGGCCATGCCAGGCTATGCCATGCGATGCCAGTTTGGCATAAACTGACTTTCAAAAAAGTAGGCCGCGTGGTTCTGACACTTCACAGTCTACCCAGGGACCCAATCCTGATCCCATACTTTTGGCTCTACGTCTACCTTAGTTACTACCTTTCAGTCAGGGCATATCTCTCAACAACTTTTTGCGTTCATCCTGTTTCAATATCGAACTTTCCCTTCCCCCGAGGTGCCTCTCAATTTCCTGCATCCATTTCGCTTCATACGTAGACTTCCCCCATTGGCCTCTCCACCACTTCTTACGTTTTTGTTGTTGCAATATCCGAACTTCCCCGGCATCAACAACTTCTTGCATGCATCTTGTCTCAATATCTAAATTCCACCCACCCTGTGCCATAGTCAGTAATAAGAGCCACAAGCAAGATAATGTTAGTCAGTTTGCTGGCCAGCTATGTGAATTAGAGGGGCCAAGGTGCCTCAACCGATGGACGCTCGGTTGAGGCACTTTGCGTGTAGGGATAGGTCTTTAGGGATGTAATCTTCATGCGGCTAAGTGCGCGAGGATGTCTGAAGCAAAAGCAACATCAAGAATTGCAGGAGACAAACCGTCTTTGTTTCGTGGGAACTATTAAAAGGCTTGTGGCTCAGGGATAAGTGCCGCTGCGAAGGGACAGAATTACTGCTATTGTTTTCTTATCTAACATGAGCATTGTCCATGACCTGTGAAGAACATCGAGTCATCGAGTGGTCTTGTAAAGTATTCCAGTTGGAGCACGGAGCTCAGCTGCGTGTCTGTGATATGCGTAGAGCACCTAATTGCTTCTTATTGAGCAGAAAAAAATTGCCGTGGCAACAGTATCACAGTAGGCAGGTGCAAACAGCCATTGCAATGGACTTTCTTCTGTCATGAATCTAGAACGCAATGTACATGGATTGGAATCGCATGTGTGCTGGGTGAAACAGGATGCGCGTGCGCTGAGGGGTATCAGAATAGGTTGAAGTAAATAGGAAAACTTTTGCACACGCAAGTCATCCTTCCTTCCTTCCTTCCAGGAAATGACAATACAGTAACCCATATCTAGGAGATTGTAACGCGCAGCTTATTCCCTTCCAGTGTGGGCACCAACCGATCCGGATAGGAAGCGCTAGTCAAAGTGACAGAACGTCGCTGCAGGAGATCCCGCGCATCAACTCAGTCGGGGCACGCACAACCTGAACCCATGCAGACCTTCAGAGCACTCTGGGCACGCTTGTCTCGCAGGGGCTGATGCTTGCGCATTGAGATGGGGTCGGCGCTCCTGGGTGAGGCCCTCAACAGTGGCCAAGCAATGGGCTATCTGAGAGTTCGAGGCGATTTTCTGCTTGTGCACTGCACATCTAGAACATACCGTGCTTCAACTGGGAGCCGCAATGACGATACATTAACCCGTATCCGGAAACTTATCACTTGAGGCTAGCAGCGGAGCCAACAATATGCGTGGCTGAATCCGGACCAGGGAGGAATCGAAGGGTGGGGAGGGTGGGGGTGTGGAGATTCCTTACTTCCAGCCGTCAATTTCCAGGAAAGGGCCAACCACCTCCCCCAGTACTAAAATAGTACTAAAATAGTACTAAAGTACATAGAACTAGCCTAAGCTAGCTTTCGTGAAGAGAACGCAATAAACTCCTCAAAATCTGTCAGGAGTGCCATTGGAGATCCTATAGTCTGCCTATAGTCTGCCTATAGTTTGCCTATAGTTCTCTTACAACCAAACCCGGCCGGCACATTTAAACTGGTATTTCTTAAGATGGGATACCCCAAAATAATCCGACATGATAATCTTAAACATCAAACATTATTTATTGCCAACGTTACTCATCCGTCCGATTTTGGAGTACCCCCCTTTTTAAGAAACCTCCAAGAGTGCCATGCAATACCACAACGTGTGACAGGCTGTTTTTGATGCGTTGTGTTGAGCCATGATTCCGCCTTGTGCGTGCACGGTGTCATTTCCTCAACGTTGGGGAAGCACAAGGTTTGAGGATAGGAGCTGCAGCAGGTCTGTGCTGGCCACTGAGTAAGGTCCTGGACGAGAGGAGGCAAATATGATATACATGTATGTTTGTGTATGTATATATATATATATTATATATATATATTTTGTAAATATGTCGATATACATGTGTATCGATATACACGTGTATCGATATACATGTGTATAGATATACATGTGTATAGATATAGAATTGATATAATTTGATATACATATATATATATGACCCAGGACTCCCAAGCCCCCCCCCTCCCCCCCCATGGTCCCCCCCCCTGTGGCCTGTGGTGGTGGTGGTTCTTCTGGTCCCCCCCCCTGTGGCCTGTGGTGGTGGTATGTTGGTATGTTGGTATGTTGGTATGTTGTATGTATGTATGTATGTAGGTAGGTAGGTAGGTAGGTAGGTATGTATGTATGTGCGTGTGTATGTAGGTTGTGCGTGTGTATGTAGGTACGTAGGTACGTAGGTACGTAGGTACGTAGGTACGTAGGTACGTAGGTAGGTAGGTAGGTAGGTAGGTAGATAGGTATGTATGTATGTCTGTCTGTCTGTGTGTGTGTGTCTGTATGTATGTATGGATGGATGGATGGATGGATGCATGGATGCATGCATGCATGCATGCATGTATGTATGTATGGTCCCGTGTCCCGTGTTCCCGTGTTCCCGAGAGCGTGAGCTTGGGGGACCATACCATTGGGGGGGGGGCCAGGGATCCGGAGTCCGGACTCATATATATATATAAGTATGAAACATCTGAATCACATCCCCAGCTTGCCCTGGTTCACAAAGACTTTGTTTTGCAAATGTTCTGGCAAAACAGAGGTCAAAACTGATGAAATATGACAGCATCTAAAGTTGCCCCATCTGTTTATTGGGCCTTCCCATCATGATTATGCCGTTTTTGGATCTATCGGCCATTGGAAACATGTGAACATTTGTGAACACTTTGCACCAAAAAGGCCGACAGCTTCGACCGTCCGAGGTGCGACCACTGATCGATCTCTTTCTGACAGGTGTGCGACTGCCAAGTGCCTCCGACAGCCTCACAAGAGCTCTGATCGGAGCAATCACACCTACAGCGCCGCCGGGTGACACGGTGACACGACATGGAAAGGACCGAAGTGAGGATTTCTGACGGAATATTAACGCCTTTGGCCTCGACAATCCCGTGTGCAATGTGAATATTGTGAATTGGTCTGTAAAAACTATTAAAAAACTGATTGTTTGAATATGTTTGAATTGTTTGATACAAATTGGTCAAAAACATGTTTGGCTTGGGAGGTTTTCTCGCCCTGTGAACAAGGCACCAGTGCTCATCTCCGCGGCACCCATTCTGGGCCTGGCATGTGGAGGCCTTAGTCCGTCAGAAAGGAAGCAGCAACTTCATTTTTAAATGGCAGTGTGTCAAAACCTTGTACCCCTGGTGAACATCAAAATAGCTGGTAAATGGATGTTCATCCCACTAAAAATGTATCTATAGGTATTGACCCATACCCGAATGAGAAACACTAAAGCCACTAGGCCTCGGCACTGATAAAATATGATAAAATGATACAACATGTTGATGATTACAAAGACTTACCTTTGGATACCTTTGGTGTTTTCAAACGGGTATTTCACCACCCAACCGACAACCCCTTGCAAAGACTTTCAAAAACGTACAACGCATTGAACTGTCACCAGGTCACCTGTGAGAATTCCAACAACTCTCAGACATGTGTGCATAGTGCTACTAAAATTACGCGTAAATTACTATGACAAGATATGACAAGTACAATTTGTATGACTGGCCAATTACAACCAATTACAAATTGCCAGCCGCCTCTCGCCGACCACTATGTAATCATCAAAAAAGAATCATGGCAGACAACAACTGGCAGACTTGAAACCGCCACCACAACCACCACGTTTCACCAGTGGCAGCAGCAGGGAACATGTGCTGCAAATCCTTCTCGAATTCACTTCAACATAAAAAGATCTGAACATTATTTAAACCAGTATTTAAACATATTCAAACAACGCGTTCATCTTTTCAGGACAAAAACAAACAAAACCAAACACGGCCAAACACCGCCAAACTGCTACATACAGTAGGTCCTCGTGAAACTTCCGACGTGAATTCAATGGATGCTGGAGCTTGACCACCACATTGACATGGAATGACAGGCATTGAGCCAATGGGCAGCCAATGCTTGACATATTGAGATCATATTGGAATGATTGAGTCAGGAATCATTTGGCATCGTGGCTCCATTGGAATAGAAGTCGCAGTAAGCCCACATCACCTTGGAGTGACAACTCAGTGATTCAGTTGCTAACTTTAGCTGGTCCTTTAGCTCATTTAGTTCCTTTCATCCTTTGCTTTCCTTTGCTCAATTTTGACACATCGGTGTAATCACTTCTCCGTTGCTGTCCGTTGCTCTGTTCGTTCTCTCTCTCTCTCTCCCCTCTCAACGGCGATGCTGCTGTGTGGAAACCAGGAGCTGATGAAAGCAAAGGAATGGCATTTGTGTCGAGAAAAAAGATTGCTGCGTTGAGCGCAAAAAGATGGGCAGTATATGCAGTATGCCAACATCTACAGTTGAAAAACATGATTGAACTAAAAGATTGAAAGAAATTGAAAGATATTGCAAGTGAACTCTAGTCTGACATTGTCTAACCGTGAGAAAATTGAGCCGGCCTTGTCCGGATTGAAATCACTGCTACTCTTGCAAGGCGTCATCCTCTTAGCATCTTTGTTGCAAATCCTTAGAGCTGCAGGAGCCGTTGGCCCGTTGGCCCGTTGGCCGAGGCACAGATCGGATCGATCCCGTCGATCCGAAGGAAGAATCAGGAGACATGTTGAGACATGTTGGTCGATTAATTTTGGTGAGGCTCTCTGTCATCAATGTGTCGTGTGCTTTGAATCATGGTTTCACAAACATGATCTTGTGACGAAACAGTTTTCAGATGTTTTCGACATGTCTTTGAACGCCTTGTGCCTTCTGGCGTTCAACATATTCATGGTGTTTTGTCTTTTGAAGTGGGGGTCTTTTCCAAACGAGTGTCGATCCTGGCCACGAGCTGCAGCATGTCTGCGCCGACCAGCTGATGGAGTCGGTGAGAGATGCACCATGAACGTCCAAGTCGTTACAACTGGTGCCGTTGGCAGCTTCGTTCAGTGCCTGACAAGATCCAAGTTTCAAGTGTGGGCCACAGCATATCACAGCATGGGCAGGGTTTCTACAAAGTGTGCATAGTCAGTTCGGAGATCTCGAACATGTTCCTATGACATCTTATGCCATGTTGCAACATTGCATGTGGTCTTGTATGGTTTCCACGAATGCAGTGCATCGCAACGTGGACGCTATGGTAGTTGCTCCATCTTCATCCAAGTTCAGTTGAGGAACTGCAAAACCAGACCAAAATCATATCACGAAACAGCAGTTTTGTTTTAGGCCGGATCCACACCTGTCCTGGAAAAATGAATGTACACATTCATAAATATGTATAGATGCATATACCTACTTTATAAATATGTTTAATATATATATATAATTGCAGAAAGTCATACATACATGCATGCATGCATGCATGCATGCATCCATCCATCCATACATACATACATACATTACATACATACATACATAACATAACATAACATAACATTACATTACATTACATACATACATACTTACATTGCATTACATTACATTACATTACATTACATTACAATACATACATACATACATTACATTCATACATTACATTCATACATTACATTCATACATTCATACATACATACATTCATACATACATACATACAAACAAACAAACATACATACATACATACATACATACCATACATACATACATTACATACATACATTACATACATACATTACATACATACATTACATACATACATTACATTACATACATTACATTACATACATTACATTACATACATTACATTACATACATTACATTACATTACATATATTACATTACATACATTACATTACATACATTACATTACATACATTACATTACATTACATTACATTACATTACATTACATAACATAACATAACATAACATACATACATAACATACATACCATACATACATTACATACCATACATACCATACATACCATACATACATACATACATACATACATACATACATACATACATATATATATAATGTATGTATATGTATATGTGCGTATACAGTATACATGCGCATATTTAGATATAGAGGCAATATGAATATTCTTGCACCTGCAATTTTCTGTCTGAATCTGTCAATCTCTCTGCATCTGGAAACCCTGCCTTAATCAACACCCTGTCCTTGGGTTCAACTAGCTGAGCAACGCGAAGAGGTAAGAGATGGTAGTGTCGCAGTAGAAAACAAACGAAACAAGTTGTTTACAGCACATTGTGGACATTGACTAAAAAAAATGCATGGCAAAGTATGGCCGAATGCACTGTGAGAATGCAAGTAGAGTAGAATGACTAGATTTGAATGAATCGCTGCAAAGACATTAAACAATGTATGATATGTATGGTAGGACAAATGTTACACAAAAACAAAACAGTTGACCACACAAAACATTGTGCAAGACCTCAGCTCAAATCTGCACACAGCATCAGCGAATGATAGCCAAGGGGCTCTACTGTCAAGAAATTCAGCACCACAAGTGTTGGTTATCCACTTTCCTCCAGCTGCCTGCCAAATTCAGGACATTTCAGACATACCTGTGACATACCGTGACGCAATGCGACACACCCAGGTCTGATATAATTGGATATGATCTCACAGGATCTCATAACTGTCCTAAACTGTCATACCAACGAAGATTGAGGAAGTTGTCCAAAGGTTGGAGCAGGACGGAGCAGGACGGAGATGTGACACTGTGACAGGATGATATCAATTTAATATCAATAGTATGGGCACCGAACGTGACCAAAAACAATGGACCTGGCAAAGTAGGTTGCCACAGCTTTGTCCAGCAACACCCTTTGCATCCAGGGGCATTCAAAGGCTACATTTATAGGGGCCAGCATGGGCCAGCGGTTGTGTAAGTTGCATGGTGAAGTTCATGCTAAGTTGTGATGTCTACTTCGGCAGATTCTTGGACACCAAGGAAGGCCTCGCAGGACGTAGCTGTGCCACAGTGGCAATGGCCACCTTAAAATCGAAACAATACATCCAACACAACGGTGTTCGAACAAAGCAAAGCTTCTGTGCGTTCTGATTTCTATGGAAACACCGGGTTGGAGCAGCTGGTGGCAAGGGTCTTCAGGATCTTCAATTTGCTGGACAACAGAGTGCACTGGGCTACCCCCACAAATAAAGTTTCGCTGTCATCATATTGATGTTGGCTACAGTATGTGCATGCATGTCTAGAAAAGCTTGCACCAAAATAGATGCCTCCTACGATGCTGCAAGAAGTGACGCAAGATGGGAAGGAAGATTGCCGCATGATGCGACAATGGCCAGGATGGCTGCAACGCAAGTTTGGTCTTTGTACCCTTTGCAGGTGCCAATGGCGAAGATTTAAGCAGCTCAAGCTTAGACGGCTTAGACGGCTTAGACGGCTTAAACGGCTTAGACGGCTTAGACTTCATTGAAGCGCCTTGTCAGGTTGAGCACACATTGTCGCTTTCGTAGCACTGGGTGACCAGACCATTGTCCTGACAGCCGGCTCCACAGTCCGTCGCGTTGGAAGACACTTCACACCACTCGTGAAGCAATTTCTCTGGTTGGAAGTCAGACCTCAGTTATTTCTTTCACCTCTGAACAGTGTGAAAATGTCTTCGGCTAACCTTTAGAGTCAAAGAAATATATAACGCCAGGGAAGCACTCTGCAGTATTTCAACCATTTCCAACATGAGCCAACATGTACATCAGCCCACAGGAGATTCTTCTGCCGGTACTCTTGCGCACACAACACAGTGATAAAATATGATAAAATCACACATACGACAATATTGTATTTACGTAGCTGTAGCCCACATATCCTTTTCATGTTCAATTTTATTCCAGCATTCCAAAACGGGTTTACAGGAGACCGAGAGCAAACGCAAAAAGCAACCCTTCCCAAATGCACCCATTGAGCCCCACTTCAACAAATGCATCACTGGAATCGTAGCCCTCTGTGAGCAAAGAAGTTTCTTCCATTCTCTTCTTCCCCGAAAGAAATGACTCAAAATCGAACAAAACTGAAGCTCAGCATGGAAGCAGAAGGCACAACATTGACATCTGTGTTGTATAATGTAGTTGTACTGTAGTAATTCTGTAGTACAGTTGTAAAGATTGTTTGGCATTGTAAAAAGTTGAAAACTGTAGGGGATCACATCAACGAGTCCGAGTCACTCATCCTTGCAGGGCGTCATGGGTTTCAAGTCAGGCTCACCTAAGTTGCGGCTGCAGAATGTCTCAGTGCAACAAATTCCTTCTCAATCTTCTCAATCGGATGAAATCGGATGATCTGTGTATGTGAGACATCTTGCTGCTACCGCATTCTTTGGCATAGAGTCTCGACTGTCGATTTCAAAAAACAAATGATTTGAATGAGCTGGGTCAAATTGGCTTCTCTGACCAGCTAGGTCAATTCAATTTCTCACTCCCCCATGTTGTATTCAACCTATTGACTGTAGACATCCGTAGAGTAGACTATCTATTGCCCAGGTACAAAGCGTGGCAACTTTTGAGCGGCAACAGTGCTGTGCTGGATAGACAACAAAATCGACCAATTTCTCTCCCCAGCTGGTTTGAAGACCATCGCAGCCTTGTGAGTGAACACAGCAATTGGATTTCGGCTTAGTGGCTCAATGGCTCAGTATGGCTCGGCTCAGTATGGTAGGAAACACGGTCAGTAGAAGGAAAAAGACTTTCGGAAACAGATGCAAAGTGCACAAATCAAAGCACGACGAGAAAACCGTTAAGCTATGCAGCTGAACCGGAGTCCACATGGACTCGAAATTGACTAAAAAACAGCTGAAATTTACGACACGCACACACACACGCAGGACACACGACACACTTAAAGAGGACATGTGGCGTGTGGTTGTAAAATCTCCGTGAAAAAGGAGAAAGGACGAGAAAGGTACCAGTTTTACTCCGCTTTACTCCACTTGCTCCAGTTCACCTCCCTCTGACACCAGACCCCACTTTAGGGAATTTGGGCATGGTTTCAAGAAGTCGACCTGGTTGATTTCAAGTGCTGCATCAAAGAGGCGGGAAAAAACAAAAAGCACGATGTGGGAAATGTTGCATCCCCAGGAATCTTATAAAAGTCTTATAAAAGTCTTATAAATCAATATGTCATAATGATGTCATAATGATGTCTAATATATGTTTTGTCTTCACCGCTACATATGCTACATGTTTTGTGAAATATAATGCTGCAGCATGCCGAATCTCGCTCTGGATCTACAGAATCTCATGAAAGCAAATACATCCCCTGTCAAAGTTGCCCTGTCTCGCCTGTCTTCGATGCGTTCTCCAAGAGGGTGTACTCTTCCCACCAGTTCATCAGGGCCTCTTTACACGTGGTGCTGAAACCTGTCGGAATGAAGGATCAACGGATCAACGGTTTGAACACTTTGAGATCTTGCAACCAGAACGATCCACAGGGTCTTTTCATATGTTGTTCTTTGATTTGCGGTCGGCCTCAGAATTCTCTCGACAGCCCAAACCTACTGAATGGTTTAAGGTGTTTGATCAAAGCAGAAAAAAGAGTAAATCAAGGTGCTTAGAAAAATCCCCAAAGACACTTGACTGGATAAAACAGTCAATGTATGTCCGACATCAACAATAGAAAGATCTACACCCCAAACCCCACTCTAGTGACACGCCCCCAACTACTCATTCGCAAGAAACAACTGAAGTCTTGCTATCCGCCTATCCGCAAGCTGCTGTAATCATGCAAGTTGCTATCCGCATTTCATCAGTGTGCTGCAACTCAGGACAAAAACGCAACTTTGCTTCCAAACTAGGCATGACTCAGCACGACTCTCACGACTCTCACCGTCCCTCTCCGCATGTCTTGAAGTGTTGACCCAGCCCGTGAACACTATGCCTTGGTCAAGAATGTTGTCCGGCATGAAATCAGCAGGGTCCTCGCCAGATGAAACGGGCTGAACATGGAATTTGGAATGTGAAGACCTGGTCCTGGACAGAGAATCTGAGGATAGCAACATGAAGCAACTGGGCACAAACTGCAGCAAATAGTCCGTCAACCATGGCACCAAATAAGTAAGCGGACAAGGCCACCAGTAAAAAAAGCAACTACCAAGACTACAATGTTGGTCAAACATGGTCAAACTACATATGCATACATATTCTAGATCTCTTTTTGCAATCCACCACAAGGCATTCCATGGCATTCCATGTAGACCACGAAGTCTATCATGTTTCTTTTTTCGATATAATCTTGCCCCAGCTCATATAGATCACAGCACTAAGAAAACACAGCCTACAAGAGCAAGTAGAACTTTGGAGTCTTGTAATCTCTCAATCTCAGGACAGTCCAGTTTAATGCATTATGCATTATGCCTTGCAAAAAGAAATGGAATCTTCTCAGTGTGTTCAAGGTGCACGTTGCAATTCGGCACAGCTTCCTTGCACGGGGTTGCAAGCTCTGCGTTAACATCACACAACCTCGGCAGAGAAGTTGTGTCTGAGAAGTTGTCTCCAGCTCCGGAAACTCTCAGATCTTTCAGAAACGATGACTCCATGACTCCCATCGGGACCACCATGCTGCACCATGCAATGCCATGCTATGCCATGCATCAAAATTTTGTTCTGAATGTCTTCGATTGTCTTCGTTTGCTACAAGCGTTTTCCATCACCCCACATGCGTTCGCGTCGCATGCCATGTCACATGACTGTCACATGTTCATACGATTTCATACATGTGCTAGGCCCTGCTAGGCCCTGCTAGGCGTGCTCCTTTTACATGGCCTTACACATCCTAGGCTCACTGTCATCAGACTGAAACTAGAGACAAAGGAAGACCCCATTGCTCGTCATCTCTTTTTTCCGTTGTCTTTTAAGATTTTTAAGCGTTCCTTATCGAATTGGCGTCCAGTAGACTCAGTAGACATTATGAGCGGTGCCACCATCGTCACAATCTGAACACGCAAAGGCTCAAACACGAATCAAGACAAAAGTCCAAAACTGAGAAACATAAGTAAAACACAAAGCAAAAGAATCAGAGTAAGGTGGTTTTGCGTCTTGTGTGGATGCTACGGTGATCGTGGTGAGGGGTGTGGGGTGGGGTGGGGCCAATAAGGTCAGCACTGCGCACGTAGGCTATACTGTATATACTACGCTGTCAGCACTTGTGCACGTTACGCTTGTGTGGTTGTTGGTGTTACAACAGACTTGTGTCCTTGAAACCTCAATTTCGCAGAAAAACTTTTCACTCAGCGCATTTTGTTGTGTCTAGAGTCTATATACAAATAGGTAGCACCAGTTCCACATGGCTGCATTGATCTTGTTTTGGCCTGTGGCTTTTGAACCTTTTTGCAGTGATGCCACTCCAACTTGTTGAAGCCTCACAGGCGACTTCAAATCAGATGTCCACAGAGTCCACACTACTTAGATACTTCATGATACTTCTTTTATCTCAATGACATGGTGACACGCCCCAAGAAGATACACGCCCCACTCCAACCCCAACCCCATGATCACCGTAGCATCCGATGCGTGCATAAGTGCTGACAGCGTGGCATCCGTAGCGTGCACCAGTACTGACAGCATAGGCAAGTTTGACTTCTAAAGTTCTACAGAACAATATTGATATACATATAATATATATATATATACATATATACATATATATATACATATATATATATATATGTATACATAATATATATATAATCTTTGACAAATGTGTTGACTGACAAACGAAGGCGTGTCCACCTTGACAAAGCTGCAGCCGAAGCAGCTTTTTGGGCCAAGATCTGCAGCACATCCTGGCTGGCCATTCCAGAACCTGTTCGATGTTCCTTGAGACGCCAATTCTGCCAGCAAACTGCGCAAAAACTGCGCAAAAACTGTGCAAAATGGGTTCCCAAAGTCCTGGACATACCAGATAATCAGATACATCCAGATACAAGATCAAGTAGAATCAAGCATGATGTGTGCCCTTCTACGTGCAAGTCTGCAAAGGACAAAGGATGCTCTTCAAACCACGTCGGTTTGACCATAGCACTTCGAACGTGTACACAAGTTACACAAGTTACACAAGTTACACAAGTTACACAAGCATATTACTTCTACACATCTCATGGAGCGTAGAAGGCAGAAGGACGCAGGACAAGTTTCGATTGCCGTGGTTTGGTTCGAGGCATGGGGCAACTAAGGTCGGATCTGGTGCCAGCTGGTCTCTAAACCGGAGCAGGTGCCCTGATTGCGAGCACTTTCAATCAAGGCCGGATATTCCCCGTGCATGTACCTTGGAGATCTTGGAGATCTTGGAGATCTTGGAGTTTGGGGCTCAGGGGGAGTTCAGGAGCCACGGATGGGACGACTAGATCGATTAGGTTGTGAGAACAAAATAGAACAAATGCTCTGAGGACATGTCAGGGAGTTTCGACCTATGACGGAAAATGACCTATGGACCTATGGACCTATTGAGCTTACGCATTTTTATCTTGTTTGTTCTCAACATGTTTCCTTCATGGTCCAAACATTCTCAAGTGAAGGTTCGCGACCCACTCCATGCAGCACCCTCCACACCATAAATGTAATGTTGTGAATTGTTGGGTTCCATGTAAACTTCATCTGGCGGTTTTTTTTAGTTGATTGAAAATATTTGAAAATGTTGAACATTGTTGAACCATGTTCATTCCCTTTTTGATTTTGGTGATTTCGTTTGTTTTGGAGTTGTTCCTCTGACTCCAATGAGCCTAGTCCACCAGGTCACGCAGACATTTCACGTTCGCAGGTGTGGTACATCCACGTCAACCCTAGTGCTGCGCACTTGACCTGGCAGTTGGTTGCAAAATCTTCGCGCCCGTTTTGTTTTGGGGTTTGAATTCGAAACAGTGGGTTCGCAACATGTTCATTTCTTTGGCAAGCAAGAGATGTCATGTGACAGTTCGGGTCTGACATTTCATGGTTCCAACCCAGCCTCTGCCCATAATATAATCAATACATTTGCTAGAGCACAACCAACTCCATTTAGGAAGCTAGCTTTTGTGATCGATGAATGCTGAATACATATGAATCATATGAATAATACTTGTCCTGTCCTCTTTGACAAAAGAAGTTTTTGGAAGCTTGCAACGCGCAGCTATGCTAGGCGAGGTTTCAATAATTTCAAGCCAGTGTGGTGCAGCCGCACTCACTGCTCAAACTTTCGAAGCTTGGAAACGTCACGAGGTGTCGCACTGTGTGTCGGTCTTTCAACTGGCCTCTGTGTCGCAGTAGCAGTATGGCGGGCCGTCCCCAGCATCATAGCTCTGACCTCACTTGAACGAGCACAAGAGACTGGAAGGAAGTGGGAGAAACTGCGAGAAAGAGGCGAAGACGCCTCTACTCACCACATGCAGGATGTGTCTCCCACAGAAGGCAATGAAAAATAATGAAAATGGAAACAAGCAGGCTCTATAGATCTCTATAGAAAGCTGAAAAGAGACTGGTTTCCAGCAGGGCGCATCCAGCATCAAGGCATGCCAACTCTGAAACATTGGCTGTGCTTGCATCATATTCGCACCAGCCATATTCCTTACGAAATCAAAAGCACAGCAAGAACGCAAAGCAGAAAGTCACATTCAAATGGATACAAATGGGAGGGTGGGATCAACTCTCATTTAAGTTCACAACTCTCACCAACTTTCAACATAAACATCATAAACACATGTCCAACACTCCTAGTGTGGCAGGTTCCTGCTGTTTATTGTGATCCAAGCTCAGAACAAAGCATAGAGAGGCCACACAATGGCAAAACTTTCCATGACCATTGCTAGCTGTCTATCTGTGTGATCCTTGAACATTAGTTCAACATTAGACAGCTTGATAATCATCGAATTGCCCAGATGGACAATGAAGCATCTCATAGCAGCAAATGCCCTCTGCAAATGTGATGTGAGGACCGTGCTGGTCTGATCTGGTCACGTCTTCGCGTTTTCTAGTTTGATCCACGCTAGCATTGCGCATGTTCCGCTGCTTGATGCGGGTTTCTGTTCCGTATCTTGCTTCGTGTCCTTCATGCTACATCGCCAAGGGTATCTTCTAAGTGCTGAACCAGCGACGCCCTACATCATACTAATTAATCGAATTTTCGAATTGTACCACACTACACTAGTATCATTGCAAGGCTAGCAAATACGGCTAGCAAGTACACCAGCGGCGGTTGACTTAATATATCTGAGGTATCCCACAAACGACCACGAGAAATGTCTCTGCCAACTTCGCCAACCTGATTGTGTTTTTCTGCTCACAGGAATTGTGTCATCCCCAAGATCTGAGGATGTGCATGCTTGTGTCAAGCTGTCTCAAAGCAGGTTTTTAACGAAATTTAATGCCACGCTGCTACGTTGGGTTCATTCGTGTGTTTGCACTTGTTTGCGGTGTATGCATGTGTCTGCGAGAGGTTCCGTATAGGTTCCTTATGTATCCTTATGTTCCTTATTCTGTACATCGGAGCTTCTTAAATCATCCTATACGTCCTATACCTCTCTGTGTGCAGCGGAGCTTCAGACATCTTGGCCTGGGGCATAAAATCCTCGAAACTCGCACCTTGTGATGGACGATGTGACGATGTGACGATGTGTCCAAACCAAGGGCTGTGCCAAACTGGTCCAACACAGCCGTCGCCATGTCCAAATTAAATGGATCTGTGCGGATCTGTGATCTGTCTCAAATCTGATCCAAAATGATCCAAATGTGATCTCCAAAATGTCAGTGTGTGTCTTGGTCTGGCAGTGAGCCCCTCCGTTTTTTGTTCAAGATGGTGATTAGATGTGATTAGTGACTATCAAACTTTTAAAACGTCTCATTGAGGTCACCTTCATGTCATGGTGTGGACATTGAGGTCATCTTACGGTCACCTTCCGCATCGTAGTTTTTCTCACACTGGCGCGGCTATCCCCACCGTAGGCTTCATCGCTTAGATTCAGAACTGTAGCGACGCTATACTGCCGCTATACCTCCCTCACAACTTCGGCCCAGGGACAAGGATGGACATCTTCTATTGTAAATGGCAAGGTAGTTGTTGTGCTCGTAGTCGTGGTTGTTGTGGTCGTAGGAGTTCCATAGAACCATGTGGAGGTGATGATGCCTTAGCTTTTTTGATTTTTTTGCGTTTGCGTTTCTCGCGTTTGTCATGGTGCCAAGACTTCATGGTGCCACATGCGCGTCGGGTCATCTCCCCGAGACCTGCTTCGCCTCGAACAAACAGAACGATGCTTAAAGCGATGCTTAAAGCGATGCTTAAAGCGATGCTTAAAGTGAGCACTCAGAGTCTCAGCTCACCTCACATCTCGAGCCCTGGAACTCTGGGACTCAGGGACTCTAGGGACTCCAGGGCAAGGCACTGACTTTCAGGTTCAACACGTTTGCATCAATCCCTGCAGTGATAAAGACCTCGATGTGCGACCCGTAAAACAATGTAAAACAATGTGAAACATGGAATCGTTTACAAATTTTACACTTCAAGAGAGACACTCAAACACTTTGGCAAACATGATCCAAAAAAAATCTGGATCCTGACACAAAGCTGGAAGAGCAAGCTACAGTGCGGCGGCACTAGATGCAGCAATGGAAGAGGAAACACAAGTCGTTGACTATTAAGATTGTGTGAGCCCATGTGGACGTCAGGCAGATAAAGTAGACAACATGTAGACAACATGTTTATCAATGTTCAACCAAGATGCATCGTCCATGGCTGTCGTCAATTCTGCCTTTCTTGTTGGGATATCACGGGAAATAGGTGTAACAGGGGAGGTATACAGAAACTCCAAAGCTTGCTGACAGGTCCGACAGAAGTTTGTGCAATTTGTGGCCGATCAAATCAAATGGATACATGATGATACATGGACTCATGAAGAGCATTTTTAATTATCTTCTAATATCTTCTACGCCATTTCTGAAGCAGGGAAGGTGTCTGAGCAAAATCCAAAAGTGATGGAAGATGAAAGCGATGGAAGGCCAAAAATGAGGGACATCAAGATCATCAAGAGGTGGAAGATTTTGGGACGTGATACATTCATACAATGTTCATTTTGTCATTTTGTCATTTTGTTCCATCTGAAAAAGGGAGATTAACAGTTGATTAACAAACTATAACAAACTCATCCTCAGCTTAACTCGGCTTCCACAACTTTCACAACTTCCACACCTCTGTGATCTGGGCGACAGCCTGGGAGAGCAACTCCGGTGTGATGTCCTGTGACTTTGCGGCTTTGCACAGCGTGGACACAGCGTGGGCTTTGCAGATTCAAATCGCTTTGCATCGGTTAGTATCGGTTTCTCTGGCAGCGGTCACAGTCAGGGGACAATGGCTGAAGTGGTTCGACTCATCTGAAGCATCTCATGTTGGTTTGAACATAAACAGAACATAAACAGAACATAAACTCAATGCGGTTCGCAATGCAAAGTCAGGGAAAAGTCAATGCCAACTGGCCAACTGCAGCCACGAAGATGCCATGTACAGAACAGCGGCCAGTCGAGCTTTCTAAGTGTGTGCCGTCCTGTGGACAAGGGAAGGTGAAGACGACTTTCACTGCAATCGAAAGGTTCGACTCCTTCGTCCTGATTTCACAGCGCAGGCAGCACGCAGCCGCACTCAGCTTGAAAATATTTAGGTTATAAAACTTATAATCTTCGATGGTAAAAGAATGTACAAGGACGGAGGAATTTCACCTCTGAGTTAGAGCTGAAGCGTACACTCAGTGCTACAGTACCATAATAGCCACACTTCATTGTCATTATGCCGACACACACCAACAAAGGCATACCTGGCGTACCTTCGAGGTGTTTCAAGGGGGAAAAACGTCAAAAAACATGGAAAAACTGCATATTTCCACAACCCAAAATTTCCGCTGTCAGAGTTTCGATCCAAAACGAATCGTGGAAACTTTGAGAAACTTTTAGAAACTGATACAGCCGAGCTCAAGTTGACAAGAAATTCAAATAGTGACACAGACGCAGAAGCACTACTCAAGCAACAAAGACAACCGCAAAGACAGATATTTAGGCTGGAATGACATCAAAATGCAATCAACATGAAGTCAACACCAACGCAAAGTGAAAGCTCCGTCCAACTCAGCAACCCTTTCAACTCCATCTCCAAAATTTTGCTGTCAAGTTGAGTCAAGCAGCTGCAGGAAAGCTGCCTCCACGGGTGTGTAATTCACGTGGATATCCTGACGAGACAAAATGAGACAAACCAATCGAGATCTCACACAGATCGGTTCACGGGGCCACGACAGTGCAATGATAGCAACGAGAGTGGGATGGACATGATAGCAATGATATGCAATGATTACATCAGACACAGTGTGAAATTCCAGTGAATCCAGTGTTGAACATTACATGATTCATGATATTCATGTTGGTTCCATGATTCACACATATTCACACTATGTTCAACGGAGCTCAACGACAGCCCCGATGCAGGGAGGTGCGCCTGTCCCATCACTGAATGGCCAATGAGCAAGGCGAGGCTGTTCTGAATGGCCGCGGTTCCGGTGGCCTACAAGGGCTGAAAGTTTTCTGCAGGACTTCTTAAAAGTTTCGTAAACAATGAAGTTTCGGGATGTTTTGGGTGCTTTGCAAAAGTCTTTGGGAAACAAAAAGACGCATTGCCAAATCAGATCAAAGCAATGAAGAAATAAACAGCATGTTGTCCATATACAGCAACTTAAAATAATAGTTTAAAAAAATAAAGATCGATAAAGCCTTTCGACTGCGGATTCGACTGCGGATCCGTTTGATGCTGATGGTTAAAGCTCAGATCGAATTAAAATTGAGGACAGCGACCTGGGCCATGACGGCCATGAGCGAAACACAGGGTGGAAAATGCTGAAACCCGGGCGTGCAAAGAATACACAAAGCACAAGGGAGTCGGAAAGTCGGAAAGCAAAGACAATTTCTATCGCAGAGACAGAAAATGCCTAAAGGCAAGGCAGGCAAGGTAAGAAAAAACACAGGACTGCAACACGACCCACTTTTACCTCTATGCAAATTCTGTTAGCCCCCCATTGCAATGCCAAAATATGTCAAATCAAAGCACACACCAGTGTAGAACCTGGGACAACGTACAAAGTCTGACGAACACAAAAAATTCCCTTTTTGCAAAAGTTTCACCACTTTGGGTTTCTCTGTGAATTCAAGTTAGGCAGGATGCACCATCATCCACGCACCAGGCCTGACTCCTTACCACATCCCGCCTCGCTGACCACCACCCCCGAGCATCACATCATGATCTACCTTCTACCACCTCACCTGCCCTATATAACACGTCCTAGCGAGGTGCTTAGTCCGGAGCCACGAAATCTGCAACAGCCGTAGCCTCAACCACAATCACAGGCAGAGTCACTAAAGCCTGAAAAAAACTCTGGAAACAGTGAATCAACCAAACAAGACATAAACCGACTCTAAAATCTCTAAATAAACCTTAAAGCCCTAAAGAAACGCAAAGAGAAACTAGAGCACCCTACATACACCTGAAACCCACCCAAAGTAACCCGTAAACCAACCCTGAGTAAGCCGTTTTACACTCTCTCTCTCACATCGCACCAGAAATCTGGGTGCTGGAAAAGTAGCCGACCAGCTTGTGTGAGCTACTAATCCCCATCTGTACAGAGGTCTACCAAAAGGACGGGAACCTCAGTGACGAAACCGAAAGGGACCGACGAAAAAGGACAAGTCCTCAATCACAGTGGGCTGCAAGGGGACACGGCCCACCACCGCCAGCCCAACGAAACTCAGGGTCGCCCCAGGGCCATCCTCCACACCATCTTCATCCAACAGGGGAAGCCCACCGACCGATCCGAGTGCACGCGTCCAAGTGCGATAAAGCCGCGGCATACCAGGACGCACAAACGAGTTCAAGACCGACCCGACTCTTCAACCGTGCACCACTTGCCCTCGTACCACAAGGGAGGCAGCACACCGGTGTCAAAGATGAACTGCCACAACAACTCAAGCGCAGTGATACCTGACCAACCCACGGCACACGACGGGTACCACCGCAACGCCCCGAGCCACCCAACCAACGTCCTCGAAAACCCTTCATGCACCTGAGGGCCAGCATCGAGGTCCTCGAGCCTTACCCCTCTACCAACTATATATCTAAGCAAGCCGTTTTACAACCCTAAAACAACCATATTATAACTACACATAACTAGACCCTAAAACAACCCTCAAGAAACCCTAAGCCAACTCCAAATAACCCTAGACCAACCTAAAACAACCCAAAAAAACAATCCTAATGAAACCTGAAACAAACTCAAAACAAACCCTAAATAAACCTTAAATAAGCCCTAAACCAAACCGAAATGAACCGTAAACAATGCGTCAAAAAAAACTATCACAACCTTACAACTAAACCAATATATATAAAGGGTGTAGAATAGTTTTTGCTATTTTTTTTGCCTCAGGTTTTGGATGTTATTTTTTTGCTTTCTTTTCTGGTACCATTTGCCTTGTGTTTGCAACAGTTTGGAACTAGAACCTGTCATTTTGCATGGTATTTGCTACATTTTGGCATGGACACTTTGCATTTTATTGGCTACATTTGGCCATGTTTGCCTCCATTTTGCATGGTATTTGTCACATTTTGGCATGTTAACCTCTCATTCGCATGGTATTTGTTACATTTTGGTACTTCAAACATTCATGTGGGTCTCTTGAGCGTTCTTTAGGCTTTCATTTAGGGTGTCATTTAAGGTTTCATTTGGGGGTTCATTTAGGGTTTCATTTAGGGCTTCATTTGGGGTTTTTATTTAGGGTTTCATTTAGGGTTTCTTTTGGGTTTCATTTAAGGTTTCATTTAGGGTTTCATTTAGGGTTTCTTTACGGTTTCATTTAGGGTTTCATGTAGGTTTCTTTAGTTTCATTTAGGTTTTTTTCCGGTTTCATGTAGGGTCTCTTCATGGATTTCTTATCAGGAGTTCTAAACGTTCAAGTGGCTTTCTTTAAGGCTTCTCTAGGGTTTCATTTAGGGTTTCTTTAGGGTTTCTTTAGGGTTTCGTTTAGGGTTTCGTTTAGGGTGTCATTTAGGGATTCATTTAGGGTTTCTTTAGGGTTTCAGTTTGGACTTCATTCAGGGTCTCATTTAAGGTTTCTTTAGGGTTTCTTTAGGGTTTCATTTACACTTTCTTTAGGGTTTCATTTAGGGTCTCTTTAGGGTGTCTTTAGGGTTCCATTTAGGGTTTCTTTAGGTCTTCAGGGTTCCAATTTAGGGTTTCGATTTAAGGTTTCATTTCAGGGTTTCTTATCAGGATTTTTTTTCATGATTTCTAAACGTTCAAGTGGGTTCTTTTAGGGTTTCATTTGGGCTGGCATTTAGGGTTTCTTTAGCGTTTCTTTAGGGTTTCATTTCGGGTTTCTTGAGGGTTTAATTTACGGTGTCAATTTAGGGTTTCTTTGAGGTGTCAATTTAGGGTTTCAGCTAAGGTGTCAGTTAAGGTTTCATTTAGTTTTTTTCAGAGTGTTGTTTAGGGTTTTTGGGATGTCATTTAGGGTGTCATTTAAAGTTTCTTTAGGGGTTCATTTATGGTTTCATTAGGATTAATTCATGGTTTCTTTAGGGTTCATTTATGGTTTTTTTAGGGTTCATTTACAGTAGGGTTTCATGTAGGATTTATTATCAGGATTTCTTTAGGGTTTCTTTGGGTTTCACCTAGGGTCTCTCTAGGGTTTCATTTAGGATACAAACAGAACAGAATAAAGCAAAAGAAAATGAAAAGCAAAGAGACAGTAAAGACAGGAAGCAAAGAAGCAAAGGGGCAGGAAGTAGAGCAGCAAAAACACATGACTGAAGAAAAGAAAAACTAGAATAGTAGAAGTAGAAAGGCACAGAAGTACAAGAGGCAGGGAAAACAGAGAAGCAGAAAAGCAAAGAAGTAGGAAAAGCAAAAAGCAGAAAAGCAGAGAAGCAGGAAAAGCAGAGAAGCAGGGAACGCAAAAAGCAGAAAAGCAGAGAAGCAGGAAAGGCAGAGAAGCAATATAAGCAGAAAAGCAAAGAAGCAGAAAAGCAGAGAAGCTGAAAAGCAGAAAATCAGAGAAACAGGAAAGCGTAGAACCAGGAACCAAAGAAAAAACAAAACCTGTCGCGGAAAAAAAAAAATAGCCCTCCATATATGAATCCCAAACCAACTGCAAACAAAGCCTAAACAAAGCCTGAATAAGCCCAACACCAATCCTGAAAGAGTTTTCAACAGTACGCAAATTGCACACTGTAGCTCCAAAATGCTGCAAACGGAAGACAAGAAAAGAACGACGTGTTTTCTGCCTTGTTCCCCCTCCATGCCCCTCTCCAGCGCGATGAAATTTGCATTTCACATGCTGTAGCCATGCTAGCAATGTCTATCAATTGTCGTCTCTTTTGGAAACGCTCACATTATCACAGACTAACACAGTCATTGTATCTGGCATGGCCACTCCACCTTTAGCTTCTCCAATTCCTCCGCGGTCGCATTCCAATCGACAAGGTCATAACCTTTCGAAACAAGAAACATGGGCAACTGCCGAGCAACCCATCACAATCATCACAATCATCACAATCATCACAATCATCACAACATCACAATCATCACAATCATCACAGTCATCACATAGCTTGATAGTGCAAATTCGGTGCCGTGTTGAGCAACAAGGTGGCTGTGAATTGTCTCATCAAGGACAATACTTGACAAGTCTGGCAACTCTCCAACGCGTACGTAGGCCATTATAAAGCATGTGTTGGGATATGTTCGGACGTGTTTGGATGTCTTTGGATGTCTTTGGGTGTCGTTGGGCGTCGTTGGATGTTTTGCCGTTGTGCATTTTGTGTCTTGGAGTGCTCTTTGGCATAAATTCAACAAATGTGAATAAACATGAATAAACCATAAATCTGGAAAGCTGAAACTGAGAATGCAAAAATGAGAACTCCAGCCGCCCAAGGGTGTCATGGAAGCGCGAAAACTGTAAAGCACTACAAGCAAAGTTGGAACATAATATGTTCACATATTTCCAAACACACACACACTTGCTCAGAGCTGTCTTATCGAATTGCGATGTGGAATGCATCTGGCGTGCAAAAAACACGCCATTCATTCCGGAGGAAATGAAATAGGGAGATCCAGAAGTGCCAATTGAAACCCAATAGTATCAGGAGCTGACCCTTCCCTTGCCAGTTCCAAATAAAGGCCAAAAAAGTTGTCGAAGCAACCATGGCAATAGCCAGTGAAGTTAAACCACAGTCTTGAGTTGCGCCATCAGTACATAGAGTTGAAGAAATCATGTCGGGGAAAATAACTGGAAAAGAAGCAGATTGCGGAAACCATGCAGAAATCAAACAATCGGTGAAGGGGTTCTCGGCTTGGCCCCATGCCATGACGATCAGAACTAATTGGATAAAACAGGGCAGGTACGTCACACCGGGACACAAGACGGGGAACGCAAAAGAGGAAAGGAAGAAAGGAAAACACCAACATACACCAACACAACACACCTAGCCCAAAACGGGCGAACCCTGAAAGGGCAAGGGGACAAAAAAGGCGGACGGACGACGGGCCAAACACCGACCAGAGGAAGGGAAGCGGACGGAAGCGCCTGACACAACCTACAAGGCGAGAGCCAAAACTACCTCGGCACGCGAGGGACCCAAACCTGACCTAGCGAGGGAGCACGCATGAGATACGGGAGCATTGGGGAACTATAACTAGTTAATGAACAATGATGCATCCACAATCGCATGCAAGAGTCGAGATAAGGCTCAAGGCCCTCGGTAATTGATCACTTCAACCCAATAGACAGCTGAAGTAGTCACCAGTTGAAGTAAGTGCACATGTGAACCTCACCAAAGACCGAAAGAGAGTAAGCACTACACCTAAAAAGGCATGTCCTGACGCCTCTCCTTCACATGTTGTAAATGTCAACGCAAGCTGAGCAGTCTCTAAAGCATCGTTGAAAAAAAAGGAGGTTTCACGATACCACGGCTGGCAGCACAACTTTGGTTTCGAAAAGGAAGGGTGAGGCCAGGCACGGCGGCCAGTTGTTCAACACAGTGACAAACGACAAGGTAAGACCCGAAAAATGTCCAACTGTTCCACTTTACTCAAACGAATTACTAGGTTGAAAATTGTAAATTCAGAGTCAGGTCGAGGCTCCCATTTCCTACCTGTTGAGATGGTTCTCACACACTAGACAAGAATGGATCATTATATGATCCGGCAGGAACTGAATCCTGAAACATGCAGATTAGATGGGAAATTGGCAGGTACGTCAGAAAGGCGTCCCTTTCTGATATCACAGATCAAGGCAAGTGTCTTTGTTAGTGCCAGACTTGCAATGATCCCTGGCACCCCCTGCATTGAATTTAGAATTAGAAAGGGAGAGGACAAAGGAAGAAAAAGAGAGAGAAGTTTTACATCTATTTAGATGTTACACACACACACCCGGCCGGAGCCGGGTCAACCCTGAAAGGCAAGAGGAAGAAAAAAGCGGACACACGACGGGCAGACGGCCAAAAACACCGCGGGGGGGGAAGGGGAACAGACGGACCTCCGGAACCAACCTACACGGCGAAACGGACCTGACCAAAAACAGCGCACACACCTAAACCCCACGACACATTACGGAGAGGCACGCGGGGAAAATTAGGGACCAAATGGGGGACTAGTTAATGACAGGCAAGAGAACCAAAACAATTAATTAAAAGCAGGATTCAGCTCCTAAACCTACAGGTCGTGCGTTGTGCCAATCCAGGCCCGTGGTCCAGTCAGCCCTAAGGGCATAAGACGGCTTTCAGGTTCCATCGAATTAGATGCACAATGTGTTTCACCTCACCAGAGAACCAAAAGGAAAGAAAACCACACCTGCAAGACGTGTGCCTGCCTGATTCCTGTATCCAATGCTGTTGTCATGTATCGTCAAGAGCAGCTGCGAAAAAAGGAGGTTTCTGAAGTTCGGCACGGCTTCACAGTTGAAGAAACGCATCGGCGAGTAATCCCTGGGACATCCGGAGCAGCAGGAGATCTCAAAATGGTTGACAAACCGTAAGGCCAGCTGTTGCAATTTACTTAAATGAATTACCAAATTAAAATGTGTAAATTCGGAAGTCAAGACAGTCATCACTCACCCTAAAAAGGGTTGCCTCAAATGGCTCCATGGCACCATGTCGGAGCCACCATGGAAATCACACTAGACAAGAATGGATCATTATATGATCCGGCAGGAACTGAATCCTGAAACATGCAGATTAGATGGGAAATTGGCAGGTACGTCAGAAAGGCGTCCCTTTCTGATATCACAGATCAAGGCAAGTGTCTTTGTCAGTGCCAGACTTGCAATGATCCCTGGCACCCCCTGCATTGAATTTAGAATTAGAAAGGGAGAGGACAAAGGAAGAAAAAGAGAGAGAAGTTTTACATCTATTTAGATGTTACACACACAGACCCGGCCGGAGCCGGGTCAACCCTGAAAGGCAAGAGGAAGAAAAAAGCGGACACACGACGGGCAGACGGCCAAAAACACCGCAGGGGGGGGAAGGGGAACAGACGGACCTCCGGAACCAACCTACACGGCGAAACGGACCTGACCAAAAACAGCGCACACACCTAAACCCCACGACACATTACGGAGAGGCACGCGGGGAAAATTAGGGACCAAATGGGGGACTAGTTAATGACAGGCAAGAGAACCAAAACAATTAATTAAAAACAGGATTCAGCTCCTATACCTACTGTTCGTGCGATTATTCCCTGCACCGGGACCGTGGTCAAGTCTTGCCCCAATTGGCATAAAACAGCTATCAAGTTCCATCGAATTAGATGCACAATATGTTTCACCTCACCAGATAACCATCAAAAGAAAAAAGACCACACCTGAAAGTCGTGTGCCTGCCTGATTCCTGTGTGCATGTTGTAATGCCACTGTCATGACAAAAGCTGCAAAAAAGGAAGTTTCTGAATGTTCGGCACAGCTTCACTCAGTAGAAATGCATTCGGGGTTCACAAAGGACAGCCGGAGCAGCGAGAATCTCCAAAAATGGTGGATAACAGTAAGGCCATCTGTTGCACATTACTTAAGCGAATTACCAAATTAAAATGTGTAAATTCGGTAGCCAGGACAGTCATCACTCACCCTAAAAAGGGTTGCCTCAAATGGCTCCATGGCACCATGTCGGAGCCACCATGGAAATCACACTAGACAAGAATGGATCATTATATGATCCGGCAGGAACTGAATCCTGAAACATGCAGATTCGATACGAGACAATGAAATTAACGATGCATCCTACGAAAATTGGCAGGTACGTCAGAAAGGCGTCCCTTTCTGATATCACAGATCAAGGCAAGTGTCTTTGTTAGTGCCAGACTTGCAATGATCCCTGGCACCCCCTGCATTGAATTTAGAATTAGAAAGGGAGAGGACAAAGGAAGAAAAAGAGAGAGAAGTTTTACATCTATTTAGATGTTACACACACACACACGTGTAGGGGAGGAAAGAAAGCATCCTGCGCATAAAAGTTGCCGGATCCGCTCTACTTCAAAATTGTTTGACGTGTGGAAACAAGCCTTCTCTCCTCTCTCCAACAACCCCACGGCATGTCACTTGCTGTCTCTGCATGTCACTTGACAGAGGGAGTGGTCGAAGATGGTCGGAGTATCACCAAGTGGCTGAGAAGGAAACTTCCCTCAACGGTGCTTGCAGGGCTGGGCGTTCCTCAGGCTGAAAGCTCATGGACCAACACGGACACCACCTAATCGTCAAACAATCCGGGCATTGATCTCACTGCCCAATTCGGGACATTCCCAAGAAACTACAAATTTGGACCTCGTCTTTGGATAAAGTGATGTGCAACATGTCATGCATCTGGGTTTGAAAAGGAAATTATTAACAAGAGTGACAAAAGCAAATGAACTTGAGTTGTCTGTTAAGAAACCGCTTGAACTAACCAATAGTGAAAGAAACGAACTTTCGGGAAGCAAGGCCTGAACCAGCCAAAAAACGATCAAGCCACATAATAGTGTGAAAGCTTAAGGGCAAACAGTTGCAATCCTTTGTGTAGGTTGTCTCATGCTCTTTCCATTTCTGGGACCGGGCTTTTGCAAGAAAGAAAACACCTCGACCGGATCCGCAGTTCCCCCCAAACAACAGCTTCAAAAGTCATGCGCTGAGCCACCTCCACCACACGGGCTGGGGGTGGTCGAAGGACCCGGAGGAGGGCTCGTAGTCGTAGAACTGGGAGGCTCCACAGTGACAAGAGAAGTGACCTCCACTGTGTCCGGCACCTGCCCAGCAAGGACAGGGATCGTGGCCTGGGAGGCCCGGAAGGCCCCCATGTCCTTTCCAGAAATGTTACATTGCCATGACAGCACCTCAAAAAAACGAAAGTCCCTCCTGAAGGAAAGGCTTAAAAGGCTTGAAAACTCAAAGCTGTGAATGACGAGGCAGACGAGGCACTCCAAATTCGGACAAGGAAGACTTGAATGATGCAGAAAGAGTATCCGGCTGCATCTCCTTGGGGTCGGAGCCGGCACCAAAAACACAAGCACAGCAGATGCTAGGCGGCAGCCATCACCAGGCACTAGCAGTCACCAGCCACCAGCAGTCACGAACAGTCACTGGCAGTCAGTAGCAGTGACTGACTGTCACTAGCTTCAGAGTTGCAGGATTTGCAGGGGGATTCAAGGCCCTTCACTTTGCTGTCAAGTAGCTTCCACAACCTTTACCATGGTGGCTACATCCTCATTGACATGACTGCAAAGGATCGAGTGGTCACTGGCGAAGGTGAAACACGGTTGACAACACAGACCATATCACAATATTCCTCAATATGAATTGTAATTTTGAATCAATTAGATACGATTGGAGTAGTATGCAAAGATGTAGCAAATAGGTCCTAGGCCAATACTTCCGAGTGCGACACTTTTAGATATTAGAGCCTGCAAATGTCAATGACAACTTTCAACAGGCACAGGCACCAGGATTTTCTCACCAAGGTACAACAGGTGGCACCGGGAACCTCAGAGGTAGAAATGAAGAGTGCTATCACCAGGTCATGCAAAGCATGAATGACTAGCGAAACGACTAGGAAAACCGTACATTACATAGCCATTAAATGCATTTTAAAATACCCTAAACTTGTCTGCATGGAGCAGAATGGCTGAGGCTACGGTTGACTTCTGCTCCTGAGCAACATGCGAACAAATCGCTGTGCCACTACATCAACGAGCCATCGTTGTCCTCAACAGTATTGATTCGCGTTCTGGAGCAACTACTTTTTCTCCCAACATTTCCCCTGGCCTGGCCGCAAGACCCCACATCAACCACAGTCTTGTTCTATCCGTTGCTCTGCCAAAACTCATTCTGTGGAGCTGAAGTCATTGGTTCATGGTTCAACAACTTGAATGTAAGCTTGGTGATATGAACGATACCTACACACACAACCAGTTTGGGGGAAGTTCCTCGCCCTCTGGACCAGTTCCATGCGCAAAGGAACGTAAACAAGCAGATCACCTCACTCAGTTCGCGTCGTTCTTTCGATTGAATCAAAGCTGCAACTGGTTTCCAGACCATTGTGATCTCCTCACCTTTGACACCATGTCCTCGCATCTGAAGTCAATTCTGTAACTTTCATTTCACATTGCGACACATTGTGAAACATTCTGACACAGCACGACACAGCGGGTGAACATCGTGAAATGTGTGACACATCGCGAAGCATCTGGACACGTTTTGAAACAACCCGACACATCATGATACGTCGTGACACACGAAACATCCTGACAGATCTGTGACACAGTTGTGACACACATCGTGATACCAGTTACCAGATGTGACACAGTGACAGATCTGAACCTTGGACCGTGGAGAATGTCAAGAATGCCACAGGATCATGAGATCCCAACCCCCTCTGCCACTCCCCAGACATATCCTTCATATCCTTCATATCCTTCATATCCTTCATTCTCTTCATTGGGCATTATTTCTGACAAGAAATGAAAGTTGTTGTATGTTGTTGTGAACATTTATAGAATAAAAATAATAACATATAATAACTATTTAGTCATCATGAGCCCTGAAGTGGTGTCAATGCTTCAAATCCTTAATTTGGCCTTATTTCAATGCTATTTTTGACAAGTACCACAAGTGCATTCTCACAATTTGATGCAATTTGCATAATTGCATGCGTCAGTAATTAAGCCTTATGTCACTTATGTCACTTATGTCACTTATGTCGCGTATGTCTACCTCATTGCGAGGTTACCGAGTTTCTTCTCAAACCTTAGATTTGACCTTATTTTGCGTTTTCCTCACGGCATCCTTCGTGGAGGGGTCAAATGCGGCCTCAAATATCGCTGTAAAGCACTGTAAAGCTTGTTCCAAACCCATGGCTCAAAATATGCGATGGTGAATTTAGTGACCAAATATTTCCATAATTCATTCATGGTCATTGAGTCATTTCCAATATTTCCAAATCAGAAATGAGACCTCATTATGGCTTCAATAAAGCCTTGCTATGGCAACGTTAAGACCTGAATACGGTCTCATTTCTTAATCGGGCCTTACATTCAGGTTACATATCCTGTATAGAGACAGGGGTTAGGGAGGGGGTTGCATCTTGTGTGTGTGTGTGTATGACAGCCAAGCCATGTCCATGCCCACGCAGTCCTAGAAGGGCTGCAAGAGATTGCTCGAAAGCCTTCTTCGACTTCTCCTTCAAATGCTCAGAACTGTTCAACTGTTCTTGTTCGGAATTCAGGATTGCGCTCACCAAGAATCACGTCTCACAGAAAAAATCTCTTAAAAAACGACCCCTCTTTCCATTATTTCCTCCATGAATGACACGTCATGACATGTCATGACATGTCATGACATGTCATGACATGTCATGACATGTCATGACACATGACACGTTGTCTTTTCGGAACATTTCGGAACATAATTGGCCGTTGTGGGCATCGATGGCACTGGCCAGAAAATTCTCTCCTGTAAGTCGGCGATCTCAGCTGCTGTGCCCTGTGTATAAATTGATGCATCGTATGCAAGCACGAATCTTCCGGTGATGTTCGTCATGTGACCTGATCGCACGGTGAAGACAAGGCACTTCACCAAAAGCAAAGAAAGTTGAGATAAGATGAGATATGATGAGATGATGAGATGAGTGCCCTCAGTTGAGGGAAGTCCACTGAGTCACCATCACCACGAAGCGACAATGACAATCCCGCGCAACGCAACGATCGCAGCGCTGAATGATGCAATGCTTGTGTGGATTGGGTTTCTTCAAATGCACAATTGCAAAGTTGCACTGCAACAACGCGATTTTTGTTAATGTTTGGTCCTGCTCAAGCTCACTTCCGTAGATGCTCTCCCCACCTGCGCTGGTTGTAGTCGTAGTCGTAGAACTGGGAGGTTGAATGGGCTCCATCGTCACACCAGAAGTGACCTCCACTGTGTCCGGCACCTGCGCAGCAAGGACAGAGATCGTGGCCCGGTCGGCCCGGTCGGCCCCTACATTGCCATGACAGCGCCTCAAAACGAAGGAAAGATCTGTCCCTTCTGGCGGATCTGAAAATTCAAAGCTGTGAATGACGAGGCACTCCAAAGTTGGACAAGGAATTCTTCAATGATGCACAAATCAGCTTCGGTTGCATCCCCTTGGAGTCACTCCACTGCTGGCACCAAACAAGGACTGCTAGGCGTCGGCAGTCACTAGCTTTGGAGTTCAAACGACATTGGAAAACCAGTCAGGAAACTTATGCAATTTGGATACTTGCCAGTGACAATGTGTTAGAACAGCATGAGGGTTCAAGACCCTTCACTTTGCTGTCAAGTAGCTTCCACAACCTGTACCATGGTGGCTACATCCTCGTTGACATGACTGCAAAGGATCGAGTTGGTCACTGGCGAAGGTGAAACACGGTTGACAACACAGACCATATCACAATATTCCACAATATTAATCAACTAGATACGATTGGAGTAGTATGCAAAGATGTAGCAAATAGGTCCTAGGCCAATACTTCCAAGTGCCACACTTTTAGAAATTAGAGCCTGCAAATGTCAATGACAACTTTCAATGACAACTTTCAACAGGCACAGGCACCAGGATTTTCTCACCAAGGTACACCAGCTGGCACCGGGAACCTCAGTGGTAGAAATGAAGAGTGCTATCACGGGGAAAATTCTGACAGCAATGCTTCTTCAAGATCTTCAAGTTGACTCTCGACAATAAACACAAAGCGTGGTTTCATTGTGAGATGTTTTTGCTACAGCCTTGATTTGTTCTTGTTGAATATTGTAAACACATACAGTAGTCTCCTCACTCTTTGTAGTGTCCCCGGCGTGGCAAGAAGCGTAAAGAAGACGAGTGCTTCTGCAATTTCTTGCGGTTGTTGCTGTTGTTTCGCTTGAATCAATGCTGCCATTGGTTCAAAGCGCAGCACAATGTCATCATCTTGGATGCCATCTCCTCGTACAAGCTGGTCGGTCTAAATGCAAATGGTCGGGAAAACCGACTGTGCATTCATTCAACAAGTATGAACTTGGCATCGGGAATCAGTGTAAAGGACTCTTGGAAAGTTAAACCACAGCTGGAAAATGGATCAGAATTGTTGAAAAACGGAGGCAATTGCCGCCAAACATTCCAGTCCTAGAAGGAAGGCAATGGCCTGTTTGAAGGCCTGCTTGCTCTTCTCCTCACGAAACCCGGAAACCCCCGGAAACCCCTACGTGCCCCAAATCATGGAACCCATGTCTCGACAACATGAAACGACTGCACATGAAACGATCCTTGTAAGCTACCGTAAGCTACCAGGTTCAGGGGCGAAATGTATCGCTTTGTGGCAATCAGTACCAAGTATACTAAGTATATCCAAGTATGCCTTTCCAATCGCTTTTCATGACTTGTCAATCCTCAAGATTCCAGACATCCCATGACATCACTGTGCATCATACAAAGAAAAAAAACATCTTTTGTTTGAACCTTCCTACCTGATTCTACTTGTCTGTTGCAATCCGGGTTAACACTTTGTGGCAGATAGGCAAATTTGTTCCCGCTGCGCCATGCTGCGCCTGCATGTCAACAATCTCAGAAGGTGTGCCCTGGTACATCGCTGGATCGTAAGAGACGCTGAATTTGCCCGTGAGAGATGTGAGAGTGGTGCCTCCGCACGCCGGAATCGAAGCCAAGCCGCAAAAGTCCACTGTTTAGGAACAAAACAAGCGGGTCCCGCGGCAACATTTAAAAAACAGAGATAGGGATAGGGTCGATTATTTTCCTTTCTAACTTGACCGTTTCAGTGCATGAACCTTTCATTTGGCTCACTAGTCACTAGTTTGTAGCGCTTGCATATCAAGTTGTCTTCGAGTCCATGAAACCTCTGGCTCACCCTCACACGTGTCCTAAACACACCCATTACCCATCTATACCCATCTATACCCATCTATACCCATCTATACCCATCTATACCCATCTATCATCTCCAAAAACTTTTGGGAAAGAAAAGAACTGAGTGATGCATTGTTTCAATTTGTTTCATGGAGTGTATGAAATATTTCGCATTGTATTATCATAGATTCACCTCCCTGCCGTATAGCACAGGGCTGTATGAAACAAGATCGGAAGATCATCGAAGTCTGGGAGTTGGAGGATGGATGATGTTGGAAGCGTTGGATGTTGGAAGATGTTGGAAGTGTTACTCCAGTCACTTGCAGTCAACAGTGACTTACAGAGCAGCTGAGTTGCTTCCGTACAGACTGTCTTCAAAGGCAAAGTTGCTTCCGTACGGGCTCTCTAAATCGCCTCGGGTCATAGTATGTCGCACTCACATTCCAAGATATTCCAAGTGAACTACAGGTGCACTGCTAATGCACTGCTAGTGACTAGGTGCATCTGCCAGGAGATAAATGGAAATAATGTGTTGTTGACTCCGTTGACGCCTGTTACTCTTCTCTAAAATGGATTCAGGAATTCGACTCAAAAACCTAAGAATCAAGACTTGCGGTGCTTTTAATGCACGGAAAGACGTAACGTAAGCATGAAGTTTTCGAAAGTTTTCCGCTCTCGCTTTGTATTCAGGTCGCTGAAAGTCGCTTGTACAAGCAGAGAACATAGCATCGGTTTCTTTCAACCAGTCTGTGTAAATGTTGAATATGGATGATTTGCTACTGCTATTGCAAAATATTTCAATGACCACTGACATTCCTGACATTCCATGTTTTGTTCAGTTTGTTGACTAAGGTTGGCACTTAGCATGATGACCCTTTGCGGCTGCCCTTCACCTGAGGAGCCGTGGTATGCCATGAATGGATCGCAGGGTATACCATTGAGCACAATCGCAAGGTTGTAAAGTATCACGGCATATCATGGCCAAAATTGCCCTAAAAACAATGCCAAGACCATGGCGTTCTTGACGTTCTATGCTACGAATATCTACGAACTCTACGAAGTACCATGTCATCCCATAGTGTACAAAAACTGAGTAGGCGCAAGCGCAACACGAAAGAGATTCCGATCCTGAAAGTGAACTGCATCTCCATTTCCAAGGTTTTCTAAAGTTCTGCAGCCTGCTTGACATTGTGTTCCCTAAAGCCATTGGTCTTCCCGTGTCCTTCAAAAATGTCCCCTATGAATCAATGGATTCATGTGTATGGCATGTGTCATATAATGCGCATTGATCATTGATTATTGCAAATCATGGGAGTTTGCGAGGCATGTGTACAATGTACGCAATGTCACATTAAACATCATTAAATCACATTTCATCACATCGGTTTTCAATTCATCATCTGCAAGTATGTACACATATCGCATATGCATGTGCACATACGGGTGTTTGTCAATGTACTTGTTCACATGTTTTCATCTATAGTCCACCTTGCACTCGCAATTTTATTGTCAATCGTGCAATACATGTATCTAAACATAATATGTGTTTGCATTTTCATGTCTATGTTTACATGGTATTACATGGTTAATTATTAGTACAGGTGTTCGTGTTTAAATATACAGGTGCATCATGCACTGTACCAACGTGACATGTTTTGGAACCAAAATGTTGCAATCCGATCAACTTTGGGGACGCTAAACTGGACACTGCACTTGAGTTCCTCCGTGGACTCCTCATTTCTATCCTGGTCCTATGATCTTCAAAACCTCAAAATGACTAAGGCTGACTAAGGAACGTTTGCGCTGCAGGAGAGCTGTCGAAGTAGCACTACAGTGACCTGACCCATCGCCACAGACGATTTCGAACCGTGTGCAATCAATACTTCGAGTTGACAGTTGAGTATTCGATACAAAACAAACCACACATGTAGGAAACCAAAAACACTGTATCATCGCTTACCATCACATCATCAATGCATAGTGTCCCGACACCGAACCCCTGGCTGAAAGTTTTGGCCTGCATCGCAGGTCGACGAAACTTGCATGAAGAATAAGAATGGCAAAATACCCCACAAAACGACATAGTTCGTCCTCGGGTCAAACTGATAACTATGCACTCACACATACACACAATTTATGGACATGCAATCACAACGTCTCACAAAAAAAAAAACAATTCAAACGTTTTGGTGTGGCTGGCAGATCCAGACCGGAAAAACTGAAAAAAATGTCTTGGCGCATGTCCCATTCGTTGTGCAGGACAAACGAATTTGATTTGACATCATCCAAAGGATAAAACATGATGGGGGCCAATGGAAATGTGCAAAATGCAATTCCCATGAACCATTCTGCTCAAATCAAACAAGTTGTCCAAAAAGAAAACGGCGATTGCGTCCACGCGTCATGGCGGAGTGAACGGTTTGCTTGGGAAAGTCGGACTCAACATTTGAGATTTTGAAACTTGGCGACACATAACCTGGACATGCGTCTTTTTGACATGACAACACATTGACACTGTTTTTCTTTTGGCCAGGCCAAGCAATCAAATTGCAACATCTAACCTTTTAATTACATCAAGTTCTGATCCCAAATGATTCGAACATTTGTTTCTGCGAAAAAAAACCGTTTGTATTTTGCAAATAGGCGTTCCCAGTCGCAGTTTCACAAAAATCAAATTAAACTTTGCAAGGCCCGAAGGATGGAACAAGCAGCATGGACTCAAGACACTATAGACAGAAGGGGGTGCGAGTCAATCCGCACGCTCTACAGGACTAAGCCCTGCAGAGGCAACCCCAGGATATAAGAAAAAAATCAAACCAATCGACATTGAGGAACTAATGATACAGTTCACCGTGCCAAATGAAGACTAAACTTTGCACGTAACCTTGTACACAAGAGTTCGACATGGCAATCCAATTTGGAATTCGCACGAATGTGATGTTTTCACTATGCAGGACACGTCATAAAGAAATTTTACGTGCTGAAGTCTCAGTGCCAACTGCTCGGTATTGACCTTGTCGGCCAAGCAACTTTCAACAACATGACCTGATTGGTATCCGAAAGATCCTATTGGTATGATTGGTTTGGGGGCAACACGGGCACTATTTGGCGATGTGGGATGAAGAATCCAAACCGTGAAATACTGATGGATACATGGTTGACAATCCAAATTGGGGTTTCTGCAACAACCCCTCGTTTTTTTCAAAAGGAAAATATATAAATGAAAACTGGGTGGCGTTTCAAGGCATAACAGCGTAATTTTTCTCAATTCCCCAAGCAGAAACGAAATAATTTACGAACACCATTTTCTACCTCTTGAAGGACTGCAGTAAAGAAGGCTACTATGTTTACCCAAACCGGTGGAAAAAAAAAACACAATTCCCAAGGCCTACATTGGCTACCCCGACGGGTGACGTTTCTAACCTTTATCGCCCTCACAAACGCTGGTGGGCCAATGTAAGCGCACGGAACTGGATTGTTGAAACGTAAGGTGCTTCAGTTGGCTTCCGAAGTGCAAACCCTGAGTGAGGAGCGCGTGAAGCCTTTTTGACCAACTGGGTTTGCTCAGAGCCTGCTATTCAGGCACCAGGGTTTGGCCAATGCCCTGGACGTCGAAAAGTGTCAACCACAACGCTTATTCACGATGAAGTCGTCAAATATGAGTTTTGGAATCGGCAAGTGTCAACCACAACGCTTGTTCACGATGAAGTCGGCAAGTGTGAGATTGCAATTGGCCAAAGGGTGGCCAGAGGGTGGGGCGCGATTGCAAACTCTCAAAAGAAAACATGTGATACCTGGTATCTGATACCACAATTCTGTCATCTGAAAATGCAAGGATGTTGAAAGTGAAGTTCAAGTGAATGACATTGAAGCGCAAGACCTGACATGTAAAATTATACATCGACCACAAGTCGCCCTTGATCCACGCAGCTGATATGCATCCATATCTTGTTTCAAGTGATAATTCGTTATCAAGTCTGACCACTATATTATCACCCTCACAAACGTTGGTGAGCCAATGTAAGCGCACGGAACTGGATTGTTGAAACGTAAGGTGCTTCAGTTGGCTTCCGAAGTGCAAACCCTGAGTGAGGAACGCGTGAAGCCTTTTGACCAACTGGGTGCTCAGAGCCTGCTATTCTCCCCACTTTTCATTTAAGGCGATGAGATGAGCCCAGCACTCATCACCAGAGATGTCGAGTCACACCTGACAGCACCCGTTGAACCCACCTTGTCGCAAGAACAACGTGAAGGGCCATCTGAAAGGTTTGAATCCGTCGGGACCCTGGCGTACCACGGAGTGATTTGCTTTGTGCTTTCAAGTACCAGTGTTGCTGTAAGAATTTTCTTGGCGATACTATTTTGAGTGCCACAAGAAATCAAGGTGTCACGCACACCATTGTTGTCAGTATAAATCACAACTGCATCGGTGATTACATCACCCCAAAGCCAAAAATAGCAACACAGCGCGAAATAATCGCATTCATAAATCACTGACTTCTTGTTGGACGGTTTCAAATTGCGCACCATTGCGTCCGACAACTTGTGAGAGAAAAGCGCATGGGACGTCCATCAGGGGCGAACAGCACAGCCCCAATTCCAGCAACCACGCAATCATGTTCTGGGTCAAATCAAGCATCCGTCTGAATGAACCAAGTCTCTGCAGATAAACGTTTCAGCTCGCGCGGTCTCCCAGTCTCCAGCAGGTGCTTATGCAAGGTTAAAGAAGACAACAACTCATCAGAGATCGTAGAGGTAGAGGTAGAGGAGGAGTATGCATGGTTGGATACTGCAGTGAGGCAACTCTTCGCGATTCTACCAAACAAATACCCAGAGGTATATTGTAACCTGCCTCTCAACCTCAAATCTTGTTTTGTAAAAACATCTTTTGTATCCACAACGCCTGCGGAGTAAGCGCTCATTCACGTCCATGCTTGTTGCATGACAGAACTCTTTGGCTAAACTGAGGTTTCAGTTTTGGAGTAGTTTTCAACTAGCAAACTGCCTATACAAACGGGTTGAGTCCAAAGTACAAAACTCTAAACCCCGCCTTGGGGTTATGAGTAGATTTACTCACTGACCCAAACTAGAGTCTATTCCTACGGAAATAAACAACCTAGCTTCAACCATTTAAATCCAACAGGACATCTCCTATGTCCCAACGCTTTGGGCCTTGGATTTGCCATTGTTACCAACAGCTTGTAGTTTCTTTTGTGGTCTGTTTTCGACCATTCCCAGTGAAACGCTATCAAGGAGATCGCGTTAACTCCTTGCATAGCACTGAAGTCTTTCAGTATCCTCAGTAGTGAGGCTCATTTCTCTCATTTTCACCTTCTTGCTCCATGTAGAAGCGAAAATCCATTGCAGGAGGCAGGAGCTTCCAAATGCTCCTCACTTCGAACTTCCGCCATTTGAGCATCATGAAGCTTTTGCCACAGCTCACCATCTGAAGCTTCGTGTTTCTCACATAGCATGTATCGATGCTTCTTCTCCTCGAACGTCTCTGGGTCGGACGCCATCTCATCTGATTCACCTGAATGTTCACTTTCAGGTTCTGCTCGAATGTCATGCCAGTATCCTGGGTCAGAAACATCATCAAGCTCTGACCTCATGTAGCGGTCATACCGCCCTTCTTCTGTTTCTACAACCTCTCCATTTTCAGCTTCTTCTTCCATTCGACGCACCATTTCTGCAGCTATGTCGAAGGCTCGCACTCCTTGTTCACATTCACGCATCACTGTCTCTTCCGAGCACATATACCTTGGTGAGTAATCGTCGTCTGTGAGGCCCGTCATTGACCAGACATAGTCAATCATGTTTTCTCTGTCTTCAGGACTCAAACCTTCCATGCATAGTTTGAGCATCTGTTGTAATCCACCTTTCCTCATATTGTTTGTAAGAATGCGATTGCCTCTTACAATTCGTTTTCCCGCTCGATCGCACAACCAATAGAGGAATGCTTCAGGACGAAAGTTTTCACCTGAACAAACATTTGGATATTTCATCCCAAGACTTCTCGGATTCGCTGGGTATCTGCTTGTGGGAGGTTCTGCACCTGGTTCAAAATGAATCCTTGATCTTGATCTGGATCTGTTTCCAGCTGAACCTGAACTTGGTCCTGATCCTGATCCTGGGGTCATGTGCATGAAGAGGAGGACGGCCAACAGGAAGAGAAGAACTATGGAGAAGATGTTGCTTGGGCTCCATGCGCCGCACCACCAGCTCAAGGCGTTTGAAACACCATGTACCAGCTGTGCCATGTTGGACATTCCATGCCCTTCAGCCAGACTCATCACGCTGAAAACCGAAAGCGCCCGCAAAAATTGCTTGGCCATTCTATTGGTTCTACTGGTTTTGATCTGTCCGGTTTGTTCACTGACGTTTTCACTGATCATATTCACCTGTTGTTTCAGCATCTCTTTTGCTTGAACTCGTGTGAACTCTGTTTCACCTACTTTCTCACCACTGCAAACAAAACCCAACATGTGAAGTAGAAAAAGGTGTCTGTCCTTGGCTAACGACTTGGTGTTGCGGTCTGCAATGTTGTAGAGCGCTTTCACCTGTTTGATACAAAGATCACCACTAAGTACTTTAGCTTGAAGCCAAAGGAGCCGCCCTTTGATATGTCTCAATCTCCCAGCACCAAGTTTGTTGGATAGCATCTTCACCGCTGAGTTGTCGGTGTGCAAAATAACGGGTCCTACTTCATCATCAGTCAGGAAGAAGAATATGATGGAGGAAGAGAGAATCGCAAACTGCTGAAGTTGCCGCATACCACTCGGCTTCTGTGCTACTCAAACTGATACACTTCTGAGTTCTACTTGTTGACCAAATAACAATGCCATTCAAAACATGTACTGGCGCTGATGTTGAACGGTTTGACCAGTCTCAGTCTGAATACGTTTCGATGAGGTTGTTTCGCGTTTCAGTTTCACTTTCACTACCAAATATGCCACCCTGAAAGCTGCTACCCTTGCTTGTTTTTCTCATTCTCAATGCAAAGCTCTCGCTGAACTTCATGTACCCGACAAGTCGGCCAAGATCCACACAAGCTCGCTTTGTTGGGCTTTTCAAGAAAGTTGCGAGGCTTTTCGTTGCAAACTGCAAGTCAAAACGTTCCTGACTCACGTACATTGCAATTCCAACCAAAGATCTGAACTCTCACTCAAAGTTTCAGACAGGTGTTTTTCCATCGCAGCATCAAGGGAAGTGGTTGTAGAGGAAGTGTTGCAAGGCGTCTTGCAAAGTTTCGGAGGCTTTCCATTCGCTTCCGAGTGTCTCTCAAACATTGTATGGACCCAAAAAACCATTGCGCATTTTCTCTGAATCCTCATCACGCAAGGTTGTTCCACGCAAATCGTCGCACTGAACTTCTGCCGCACATTGGTGAAATGTTGATACCGTAGTTTTGCTGCATCCCTCTGACCAGGAAGGCACATCAAAATCACCAGTTCCAAATTTGCAAGTTTCACAACCCTCGAAACGGGCTGAGGCACCTGAAGAAAAGCTGCCACATCCAAAGTGCCGGAAGAAGTTTCACAATTGAGCTGCTGGAAGATGGGCTGTAAACATCTTCACGCACATCCAACCAGTTAAACTCACGTGCAACCAATCTCGACGCAACCATACAGGATTCTCTGCAACCAGTTTTCCATTCTCATCAAACCTTTCTCACTTTCTTTCTCCAAGAACGCACGAATTTTGCGCTCAACTGAGTTCCAAGCACACCATTGTAGTTGCTGCCATTGAATCACTTTCATTCCAAGCAACCTGTCGATTTCTACTGAGTCTGCATAGTCATCGATGCGTTGTAATGCTTCTCCATCTAGCATTGGTTCCAAAGCACTCTGTGGCTGCCACAAATCATCTTCTGTCATCTCACGCTCGAAGTTCTTGCTATCATCATCCCAAATACCACACGTTTCATCACATGCAGCTTCCATGAAAAATCACCAGTATCACATTGTTGCAACAATTCACCAGGATCTTCATCCACATGCACAAGAGTCTCTGAACCAACACGCATTGTTGAAAGTCTTGCACGTTTTTGCATCTGGTTCACCAGTTTCAATTGTTTCACCAAACATTTCAACTGCAGGTTCCACACCAGGAGTCACTAGTCCAGGAGCTTGCAAGCTGGGTACTGGGTGCCCCGCCTGCTCGATACCCTCATCTGCAAATGCTCTTTGCTCTGCAGCTTCATCATCCAAACCTGGGACGGCAGTTGCTGATATCAGTTCACCTCGTACAACAGGAAATGTACGACCACCAATTGCACCTCGTTGCCACTTTTCATCACCTTTTTGTTGAGCTGTATCACCAACAAAAACATCACAGGCCACGCAAAGAAAGGATGTTGTGGCAAAATTTGGACTCAAACACGTGTTTTCTTCACCGCATTTCCAAGAAAAACGTGTCTGTCTTTCAAAATCTGAGAGATAGTGTAATCTAATCTTGCGGAATCTGCATTCAAAAATTCTGTCTGTAAAATTCAAAAAACTAAATTTGTTAGCTTTTGAAAGTCAGACAAGAACCTTATCGCGTTGTAAGAGTGGAGGTGATGACGATGATGACAGTTAAATGTCGTCGTTAGCGTCTATCTCAAAGATCAGGTCAATTTTGATGAAAAGGATGAAAAATGAGGATAACAGCAATTAGATCCAGAAATTCTCTGGGCTTGTGAAAATAAAGGAGTTCTCAGGAAACCGAGGGAAATATCTCAAGTAGAAGCGTATTATGCAGGCACAGCAATGGAGCCGGCCACTCAAGCGCAGACATACAACGCATGGATACAGCCAAACTAGGTGTGCACACACCTGTCTCAAGAACCGCAGAGTCGCAGTGAAGCACAAGATCTCCTTCTTCTCAAGACTGTATTTGTAATCTGTCTCATACGCAGCGGATTCTGGAAGAAACCGGTGCCTCACTGCAGCGAACAGAACTTCTGTCAGACATCATCAGTGAGCAAGACTTTCGGGCATTGCGCACGGCTTGTTTGCTCAAACAGTCCAAGCATCCGAGTAGAAGCCCGAGCCAATACAACGGACCGTGCAGTTATAGACCAGCAGATACAGTTTATGCAAACGACAGTGTGGCCACACCCCACTGAAGACCTTCGCACGGCTGACACAAGGTGCGAACCTCTGCCAAACATTTCGATTGAATCAACAGTTCTTGTTGAATATAGCTAGTTCTTGAGATTCCAAATCATAGAACCTGTTGTGCAGGCTGAGCAAATTAGCGACGGGACCATGACATGTACTTTGACATCGTCCTACGCTTCCAACTACTGTCTTGGTTGCTCGTTTTTTCACTTCCCTCCCTCGTAAACCCCTTTATTTTGGGTTATAGGCAACAACTCACAAAAGCCACTCACGGACGGAGTGGTGGTCCACAAGGCTCGAAATGGCAACTTTTCACTGCCAGGACCAAGGGTTGTTTCACCGAAGGTGATATATCTTTATCGTAAGTGTAAAGAGTTTGATTTGAATTGTGTTTCAAATCGTGCGCTTACTGTTGCGTGCAAACACCCTGGTGTTGTGTCACCTCTTGGTGGGAAGTGTGCTTCCCTCTCTTTCTTCCTGTGTCCTCTTACGCGCAGTGTGCTGTGCCGTAACTCGGAAGTTTTCGAACTATCTTTTAGTTCTTTTATGTTTGGGTGTTTGCATCTTTTTTGTCACTCGTTTTCAATCGAAACTTTGTGACGAAATCTGTTTTACCAAGAACAACAAACATCCTGTTTATTTGTGACAGTGTGCTGCTTCAACTTGTTTGTTGTTTTGGTTTAATTTTCTATCCACCGCGCTCGCCTCAAGAAGTGTGGAGGGTGTGGTGGGTAGCCAGTTGTTTCTGGGTTCGCGAAAGGGGGGCATGCAATGGTTTGAACTTCAGTGGTTTTACCTTTTGCTCCTATGTGTTTGGTCGATGAACGGCTTGACCAGTGAGTACATAGACTCATGTGCACGTGAACTTGGTGCGAAACGACTGTGCTTACAGATGCCTTGGGAGCAGTCTCATGCAAACACTGTTTTAGGTGGCAGACCGAAGCCTACGATCCCAGTGCCAGATTGGGTGGATTTTCCTGTGCAATCATCTGACCATTCTGCTGCAATTTCAAGGCCTACAAGGTTGAACAGGTTCAACACGAAACTGCATTTGTCAGAAGTTTCATGGTTGGCATCGGAGAACAAGAAGCTCAACGTTGCTCTTCAGTGTTGGAAGGTCATTGTGTTGGACAGTACATGCCATTCAGACTTTGGGAAGCTTCTGATGCAATGCATTGAACTTGGACGCAGTGACGATTACGTTTGGCAAGTGATTTCAGATGCTTTCAGCAACAAATCTGCAGCCACGTTGAGAGCAAGGTCAGCTTCATTGCTTTCTTTTGGGCGTTGGAAAAAGACAGCCTATCCTGGTAGCATAGGTGGAATCTTCCCGATCACCGAGGAGATGGCTTACGACTATTTGTGTGACCTCAGAGTTACAAAAGCAGCCCCTTCCAGAGGCACGAGATTTCTGGAAGCCCTTGGTTTTTCGAAAGGTTTGATAGGTGCTGACGTGGACTCAATCCTGAAGTCTGCCCGAGTCAAAGGGGTTGCATATGGACAGGCTCACAAGGCGACAAGAAAGAAGTCACCTTTGACAGTACAGCAGGTGGTTTTGCTGGAGAGGCTTGCAACTTTTGGCAATGGACAAGAAGCTGTTTTTGCAGGTTACTTGTGCTTTTTGGTGCATGCTCGGCTGCGTTGGTCCGATGGGCAACACTGCATAAAAGAGCCGCAGCTTGACGTCACGAATGGCAAAGGTTTTCTGGAGGCTGCACTTTACCACCATAAAACTGCTCAGAAGAGGCGAACCAAGGTGGTGCGTCTTTTACCGGTAGCAGGCGTGTTGCCAGGAGTCTCAGGATGTGATTGGGCCACACAATGGCTCAAGAAAAGGGCCGAGATGGGACTCAGAGCTTCGATGCAGGAGCCTACAATGCCAGCTCCGACAAGTGCAGGTGGTTGGACTCGACAGCCGTTGACTTCCTCTGAAGCCAGTGTGTGGATGCGTGAGTTGTTGCAGCCTTGGTCACCCGAGAACCTCAGGGACATAGCAACTCACTCGTCAAAGGCGACAGTGCTTTCCTGGATGTCGAAGTCAAACGTGGATATCTCACTTCGAAGACTGGCTGGTTACCACATTGCCCCTGGTGACAAGAGTGCTTTGGAGTATTCAAGGGATGCTGCTGCCCCAGTGCTTAGACAGATCGAAGCCATTTTCATCGCAGTGAGAGCCAACTTGTTTCGACCTGATTTGCCAAGATCTCAGAGGTGGTTAGAAGTTCAGACCTTAGAAGACGCTGTGAAGCTTGCTGCATTGAAACCTTACAGACACGGTCTTTCCAGTGATTGTCATTCTTCTTTCGATGCAACCATGTCAGATTTGCATGTGAACAGTTCCATGCCAGAAGATGCTCAGAGTCTTGAAAGGGACATGGAGACGTGGCCTGAGTTTGGCGACGACACAACGTTGTTGGAGCTTAAGAAACATTCCTTGAATTCCTTTCATTCTGATCCTGCGCATGACATGGTTGCAAGTGACATTAGTGATGATGTCAGTTCTCGTGAGTCCTCTTCTGATTCCGACAGTGCTTCAGAAGACTTGGAGCGTCGTGCATTGCTGGACGGCGAGAGGAACGCGGTGGATCTTGTTGCACCCTCAGATCTCGCAAACAAAGAATGCTTTAAACACAAGAGGTCTCAGAAATTGCATCTGGTTGGAAGGACTTCTTTCGGAAACAAATTTTTCAAGTGTGGACGCAAGTGCAATGAAAATTATGAAGGACTCAGCACAGTCCCCGCATTTGCAGCGCACGGTTGCATGACATGTTTTGGTTGGAGCCAGAAACCAGCCAGTGACTCCAGCGAGTAGGAGGTAGCTTGGATCTCAGGACCTTCACAAGTCACATGTCACATGTCATGTTCAGTTTTTTTTGGGTACTTGTCTCAACTTTCAACTCAGCTGTTGCAAAACACTCGAAGGCCATGACACCTGTTTCAGGAATTCAGGAAATCAGCTGACAGCAGCTGATATAGCGAACGTCCGAAGAGGCATCGCACGGTGGCAAAACCTTGCCGCTACAAGTGGAGTCATTTGCAAGGTTAGGTGTCAGGTCGTTTTGCAGAATTTCATTCGGGTTGAATCTTGCATTTGCTGCGCTTGAAATTTTCTTGAACTCAGTGTGATTCACTTGTCACTGTTGGTTGGCCGACTTGTGAGAATCTTGCATCAGTTGTCATTGCATTCTGAGCTTTCCTTTTTCAACGGCACTGCATTTTTTTTGAACCCAGAATTCAAAATTTCGACATGTGGTGAGTTGGTGAGCCAACTTGTTGAGCGTGTATGCACGTGAGTCTGGGACGAAGGTCCTCTCAAGGTAAGCCTTGTTTGACTTTACGATGTCTCTTGTTCAGCTGCAGTGTCAAGAGTTTTGCATTTTCAGTGATTGCAATTGCCTTGCAAGTAGAAATTTTGTTTCAGCTTACCTGCATTGAGTTCACCTTGAAACTCTGAGCGTGGAATAGGCGTCCATTCTTTCAAACTTTAATACCTCTCTCCAGTGACCTCCTTGCAGCGATGTCGTATGTTGACAGTCAAAGTGTCTTTAAGGCACGTTGTGACGAGATCAAGTTGTCGACACAAGCGTTCGACGCTTTGAGAGGAAAGGGTTGAGACACATTTGGCAGTTACGCCTTCTCTGTCTCGACAAACCCTGCGCAGATTTCGGACGATGACTTTGACAGCAAGGTTTCAGTGCCAGTCCTTGGAAGTTCAGCTCACCCTGAAGCTGCGCTTCTCAGGCGCCTTTTGTTTGAGAGTTACACCTTGACCGCAACGGAGTTGAAGAGGAAAGCAGACAACAATGAATCAGATGGACCGAAGAAGCTTCCTGTCCAAGAGATAGCAACACGCTTCGAAGCCTTGGAGAAGAAACTTTGCCCCTTGAAGATCGAGAGCGTTTTGGAGCCAAGCCATTCCCTCATCAACAGCCTGGCCCAATGTGTTGATGACGGTCGTCTTCGTTTCATTGAGTGGTCGAAGTGCACCAGCCGTACAATGGAGCTCAACAACATCAAAGAGACCAGCAGCTTGAAGGTTTGGAAAGCTGACTCTGCTGGAGTCATTAAGCAGTCAGAGCCAGAGAGCCTTCTGCGTTGTGAAACTGGAACGGACTTGGAAGTCCTGAATGCCCTGAAAAGACAGGGCATAGCGTTTGAGCTGGCGAAGCTTATGAGTTTTGAGAAGCACGAGGCCATCGTCAACCTTCTCTTCAGTGAACTGCAGAGAGAGCCGCTGGAGGGCTTCAGGCGCCCAACAATGGCTCAGCTAGCGGAAGCTGACCGGGAAATCCATGTGAAGCTCTCAGAAAAGACAAGGTCAGGACTGCCTTTGGGCCCGCAAGGGGAGCTGCCCTTGGATCAATATGTTCAACAAGTTTTGGAGATGCCCGCAGTCATGTGGCTGCTTATGCCAAAGCCCAAGTCAGCCTTGGCCGAAAGACCATCTGGTGCTGGTCCAAAGCCGGCTCCAAAGAAGCCTGCTGCCCCGGATGACAAGAAGTTTCCTCCGAGGAACAAGACCAAGGGCAAGCGTGCCAAAACACCAATGCCAGCACAGTTGCGGGGAGGGACCCCGATCGACAATGAGAACCGTTCCATTTGTTACGGATTCAACCTTGGATCCTGCCATGACAAAGCCTGCAAAAGAGGGCGACATGTGTGCTGTAAGCCAGGTTGCTTCTCAGCCAGCCACAACTTCCTGAACCACGACAAGGCGAGTTGACTCAAGCCTGATGGCATGAGATCCTTTGCAGTTGCTGGATCAGCCAGCTTTGTCAAGCAGTTGACAGACAATTCACAAGTCACAAAGGTGACTAGTGCAACTTTTCCTACAGAGGATGTGATCCAGGATAGACCTGTGTTCAATGTTGCGCAGGCTGAACATCAGCCTCAACCTTTTTACACTCAGCTAAACGTGGCTGACCTGCAGTCTGGTGGAAGCACAGACAAGCCGGTGCTGGTCGAAGGACCACCGGTAAAACCAGGAGATGAAAGATCTCCGCCTTTCCTGCTTGAGTTATTTTGTGGTACTGCGGGCGTTTGCGCCCAGTTCAAGACAAGGGGTGGCAGAGCCCTAGGCATTGACCATCACTTGAAAAGGACGCGTTTGAAAGCAGCTGCTGTCAAACTTGACTTGACGCAACCTTGGGTGCAAGAATTGATAGAGCGAGAGGTCAAACTTGGGCGTGTTCATGCAATTCATCTAGGACCTCCCTGTGGAACTGCGTCACGTGCCAGAAACATACCTGTAAAGCGCAAACTGCGCAGCAAAGGTGCACCTAACCCAAAGCCACTCCGTAGCTCTGTCTATCCTCTTGGGTTTCCGTGGCTGAAGGGTCTGAACAAAACGAAGGTGGATGCTGCAAACTGTCTTTACGAATTTTCTGCTCGTTTAGTTCAACTTGCGGATCAGTTTGGCGTTTTGTTTACAGTTGAGAATCCGGCGAACTCCATTTTGTGGGAGACACCATTTTTCAAGCCGCTACTGGAGAAGTTCTTTTTTCACATAGTGGATGCCTGCGAGTATGGATCTCAGCACAAGAAAGCCACTGCCTTTTTAGCAAATTTTGATGCACCTCGTTTGAAACGCCGTTGCAATGGCGACCATCAGCATGCTCCTTGGAAGATACAGAAATTGGAAACAGGCGCATGGTCCTTCGACACTGCAAAGGAAGCGGAATATCCTCTTAAACTTGCAGCTGAACTGGCATCTGCTTTCTTGGATGAATTGAGCAAGTGCAATGTTTTGCACTTACAGGACGATTTACAGGACCATGCTTCCAAAATTTCTGCCGAGGCTCAGCCCAGACGTACAAAGGGCCCTTTGCTTGTTGCTGAATTTAAAACAAAGGTTACAGTTTGGTGCTCAATCGATGAAGTTCCTCCTCAAATCATTCCGGAAGATGCCCAGCCACCGTGGCAAGGCGTCCCTGTTGGCTCCAAACGGTTAGACGTACAGCCGGAAGAAAGTGAAATGGGGGGAGTGAGCCGCCTGAAAGTTACTTTTGGTGTATATTTTTCTCCAAAAGAGTTTGTCTTGAATGTCCAACAGCTGCGTCACCCATTTGACGTGCCCCTGCCTTTGGATGATGCGAATATGGCGGCAATAGCCTTCATCCTCAAGAATGGCCCGGCTGCGGTTGCAAAACACAGAGCTGACGTCTTGAAGCACTATGTTAACCGTGCCAAAGAACTACAACGCGATGAAGCTGCCTTACATGAAGGACTGGATAGCCTTCTCCAACCTGTGCTGCGTTCGAAGAAACTGCTCCTCTTCAAGGAGATGTTGACAGACGCTGGGGTAAACGATGCAACTCTGGTGGATGAGATGTGTGATGGATTCCGCCTTGTGGGCGACCTGAATCCATCTGGCCAGTTCAAACAACAACTCAAACCAGCAGCCATCAGCGTTGACCAGCTGAGGCAAACAGCGTTGTGGGCACAGAAAGCGGTAGTTTCTTCGTGTAGAAAAGTTTTGGAAGACAATGAGATCGCAGTTGCGGTTTGGGAAGAGACAATGCAACAGGCATCGGACGAACAAAGATGGGTCATTGGGCCTTTCTCTTCTTCAGAGATGACGGAGCGCCTTGGAGACCACTGGGTTCCTTCAAGGCGCTTCGGTGTGAGGCAGAGTGGAAAGATAAGAGCTGTAGATGATTTCTCACAGTACCTCATCAATTCTGCGGTGACGTGCCATGAGAAATTGGACTTGGAAGGGATTGACAGCATATGTGCAACAGCTCGTTTTTTTCTTGGTGCACAAGCCGATGATGGCTTTTGGCAGATTCCTGACGAAAGCGGAGCCCAGTGCGGCAACATGGCTCCTTCCTGGAAAGGGCGCTGTGCCTCTGACCTTTTCGGCCGATGCCTAGATTTGAAGCATGCATACAAACAACTTGGGAGGAACCCTGCAGACAACTGGTCATCAGTCTTGGCCGTGGCGAATCCCCATGATGGATCTGTTTACTTTTTCGAAGCTGTGGCGCTCCCATTTGGAGCGGTGAGTTCAGTCTTGGCATTCAATCGTGTCGCCAGGGCGCTGAGGATGGTGATGTCAAGGCTGTTCAAACTTGTTGTCACAAATTTCTTTGACGATTTCTGCCAGCTCGAAGTTGGCCTGTTGCGAACATCTGCGTGGTCGACAGCTGAAGCCATCATGGCCCTGTTAGGTTGGAAAATTTCAATGGGAGAGGATAAAAGACATCCTTTCCAGAAGCGCTTCGAAATTCTTGGAGCTGTTGTGACACTACCGGAACCTGGCTCGAAGGTGATCCAAGTCTCCAACAAGCAGTCCAGATTGGAGCAGCTTGCCCTACAGGTAGAAGAGTTACAGAGGTGCCTTGGCCGGCATGTTGCCAGGTCGCAACTTGAATCCATCAAGGGCCGTTTATTGTATGCATCAGGCCACACTTACGGAAGAAGCACTCAGCTGGCTTGCCAGCTATTGCACAAGCTGGGTGGGGCTGGTCCAACAGCTTTGATCACCCCAGACTTGATTCATGCGATTGCTGAAGCCTTGAGTTTGTTGTTGGAGTCCAAGCCAAGGATGATAAGCGCATGGAGCAGTACCCCACCTTTGCTCCTTTTCACTGACGGAGCAGTTGAAGAGTCATCCTGTAAGGTGACACACGGTGCATTGCTTGTGGACCCTTGGAAAGGGACGAGTTATTTCTTTGGAGATCACGCCCCTATACAGTTCGTTGAGATGTGGCAGCGCACCGGCAAGAAGCAGGTCATTGCACAGGCAGAGATATTTCCTGTTCTGATTGCGAAGGAGACTTGGCAGTCCGAGATTTCTGATCGGAGCGTTTTGTGGTTTCTGGATAACGATTCTGCCCGGCTTGCACTCATCAGATGTTTCTCTCCCGTGCTTGACAACTTCTGTTTACTTCAACTCAACGCTCGATTGGATTCAAGACTCAACGCACGCCATTGGTACAGCCGTGTACCATCCAAATCAAATCCTGCAGACGATGCATCTAGGCTAGAATTCTCAGCCTACAAGAGGTCAGTCCAATCCGGGCCATGTTACGTTGCAGCCAAAGAAGCTATTCAAAGGTTCTGGCAGCTTATGAGGAAAGTTGAAAAGGGGTGTTGAGAAAGCTCCAGAACTTCAGCGTGCACGTCGCTGAAATGTTTTCTCTTGTGAACAAGATGTGATTTCCGTTGTATCTTTTCTGCATTGCAGCTGTGGCATGAAAGCATGTTCATTTGATTCGCAGGAATCTTTCTTTGCAAGTGCAGTTGGAGTGTATGCACCTTTGGAACCGCCCCTTTTCTCGACAGAATAATCAAGCAGTGAAAAGGTCCGAATGAATTTTCAATTCAAATTTTAAGTATAATTATGTTTATACTTTTCGCTCAGTTTGTTTTAATTTGTAGTAAGCGCACTACACTCTTACAACGCGATAAGGGTTGTTTCACCGAAGGTGATATATCTTTATCGTAAGTGTAAAGAGTTTGATTTGAATTGTGTTTCAAATCGTGCGCTTACTGTTGCGTGCAAACACCCTGGTGTTGTGTCACCTCTTGGTGGGAAGTGTGCTTCCCTCTCTTTCTTCCTGTGTCCTCTTACGCGCAGTGTGCTGTGCCGTAACTCGGAAGTTTTCGAACTATCTTTTAGTTCTTTTATGTTTGGGTGTTTGCATCTTTTTTGTCACTCGTTTTCAATCGAAACTTTGTGACGAAATCTGTTTTACCAAGAACAACAAACATCCTGTTTATTTGTGGCAGTGTGCTGCTTCAACTTGTTTGTTGTTTTGGTTTAATTTTCTATCCACCGCGCTCGCCTCAAGAAGTGTGGAGGGTGTGGTGGGTAGCCAGTTGTTTCTGGGTTCGCGACCCACCCAAAGCACGCTTTTTCCCACCCGCGTTTTCAGAAACAACAGGGGGTGTTGAGAAAGCTCCAGAACTTCAGCGCGCACGTCGCTGAAATGTTTTCTCTTGTGAACAAGATGTGATTTCCGTTGTATCTTTTCTGCATTGCAGCTGTGGCATGAAAGCATGTTCATTTGATTCGCAGGAATCTTTCTTTGCAAGTGCAGTTGGAGTGTATGCACCTTTGGAACCGCCCCTTTTCTCGACAGAATAATCAAGCAGTGAAAAGGTCCGAATGAATTTTCAATTCAAATTTTAAGTATAATTATGTTTATACTTTTCGCTCAGTTTGTTTTAATTTGTAGTAAGCGCACTACACTTCCTCCAGGAAACAATCGATATGGATCATGCTGATAAATTCCATTTGGTGGGAACTTTTTGTAATTTCCCATGGATTAACCTATACTCCTGAAACATATCCTGCGATGGATAATATACTGCAGAGGTACTTCCAAGTGTCTCCAAAGTTGCTGGGGTTTGGAGAAGCTTGTCCTGGTGTCTTGAAAGTGTCATGCTGTATGGGATTTACGAAATTTGGCGACAAGTGTGTCAATAATTTGGATTTACTTTATTATGTAGTTGGAGTCGCATGCTTGCACCGGGAAGATCCATGCAGGCGGATCTGCATGCACCTCGACTCCCGTACGTCTTGTTTGTTTGCAATGCTTTGTTTCTCTTCCTTCTGCTGTATTTTCAAATGTACAACCCCCAAACAAACCTTGTTAATGTCTGCGCGCAGCTCATTTCACTGAGGAATGACCACTTTTTTTGGTGACACCTTCGATGTGTTGTGTTTTCATTTGTACAAACTCCAATCAAACCTCAATTCTAGGCAGCGGAGGAAATCTACAGTTGCCGCGCGCAAAAAAGAAATTAATTGACCTTTCCTTTAAAAATCCTGTCCTCCCTCATGTCATATCCTTGTTTTTTTTTCCTCTGTTGCGGCCGATCTCGCTCTAAGGCTCGCTCCTGACAGTGAGAGAAGCGGTATAAAAGTGTGCAAAAAGTATGAAACCCTTTGGCTTTATAAACGAGGCAAACCATGGAAAAAAAAAACACAAAAACAAGAAACACGGCAACAGCGACGACACGCAAATCTCCGGCCAGATTTGCGTTTCGCCGGCAGAGAAAACAGCGAAGCAACACAAAACGGGGCCGGAGCCACACCAAACAAAAAACACCACAAATCCATGGGGATTGCCTCCGACACGATAGGGTTAAGCCCACCGTGTCTCAGAAATATGCACAAACGAATTAATCGTCTTTGGCCCAAACAAATTAAAAGGGGTGAGAAGCTAAGCAACTGTGAAAAAACAGCAACAAGGTAGCTTTTAGCACACAAAGGTAGCCACCTCAGAGTCCTCTCAGGCGTGCTTTGTCTATCCTCGAATAGGTTGATCAGCTTCAAAGGTTCTGGTAGTTGCCACAAAGCATGGGTGTACAGTCCGTAGGAGGTTACAGGAAACCAAGGACGCACGTTGCTCTGTCATCAGTTCCTGGTAGCACATTCAGTTGCTCTGAGCAGTGCCGTCCCGAGACAGGACGGCACTGCGGGTCCTGACAAAGAAAAAGCTGGCAGGGCCAGACTGTTCAGCATAGAACTGAGCGACTTATCGAAGAAGTCGTCCAGGAGAAATGTCGTCAATTTCATTGGCGAGGGGGTCACTCAGTAAAACATGCATACCTGCACTGACTGCACTTCGTGAGGATCATCGCCATCATCCAGTGCATGCAGTACATGCAGTATGGAGCTCATCCGAAATAAGACATCCGTGACATCGCGTCCACTCACCAGAGAATGGGGCAGAAGTCTGCTAATGCCACCTCCAGAACGAGCCATGAAAGCAGTCTTTGCTGCACGCGGGCGCCCTAGGCAGCAGAGCAGGGAGCGGTTCTGGACAGGCCAGCTCCTCTCGCTGCACTGCTGCGTAGTCCATAGCATCGGCTGGCTACACTGCACCCCCGCAAGCAGCCATGAGGGTGCCAGCAACCTAATTAGGGACAAACAGGGGCAGCCAAACGAATTCAGGGCAAGAAACCTTCCAAAAGAGCAGTCAGGGAAGGGGGCAGTCGTGGAGCACCCTTCGGCGAAGGTACCTTAAGCCCCCTTCAAAGGTACCTTAAGCCTTTGCCGAAGGGGGGGACGGGGGGGAGGAGGGGGGTGAACGAGGAACCGAAGCCCCCTTAAGGTACCTTAAGGGGGCTTCGAAGGCTTCGAAGGTATCTTAAGGGGGCTTTGAAGCCTTCGAAGGTACCTTAAGGGGGCTTCGACGAAGGTACCTTAAGGGGTCTTCGCCGAAGACTTCGAAGGTATCTTAAGCGGGCTTGGACGAATTCTTCGAAGCCCCCTTAAGGGACCTTCCAAAGTTTTAACCCCCCCGCTTCTTTTCAGCTCACGACGACAAGCACAAATCAAACAGTGAAGCCAGATCCAAATTCAAAATCAATGTCACAAGTGTCACGTGAGGCTCGAAGACAACGGTCAGGGGGGGAAGTTCAAATAAAAAGTTAGAATTTAGATCATGGCATTGTGGAAGGCAAGGGAGGGGGAAGTTTAAAAAAAAGTTGGATTTTAGATCAAAGTTACAAAATAAAGAGGATTTTAGACCATGGCATTGTGGAAGGTAAGCGGGAGGAAGTTTAAATAAAGAGTTAGATTTTGCATCATGGCATTGTGGAAGGCAGGGGCATTGTGGAAGGCAAGAGAATTAGATTTCAGATCATGGTATTGTGGAAGGCAAGGGAGGAAGTGTAAATAAAGAGTTGGAATTTAGATCATGGCATTGTCGAAGGCAAAGGAGAAGTTTAAATAAAGAGTTAGATTTTAGATCATGGCATTGTGGAAGGCAGGGTGGGAAAATTTAAATAAAGACTTAGAATTTAGATCATGGCATTGTGGAAGGCAAGAAGGGGGGAAGTTTAAGTTAGATTTTAGACCATGGCATGGTGGAAGGCAAGGGGGAAATTTAAATAAAGAGTTGGAATTTAGATCAGGCATTGTGGAAGGCAAGGGGGGAACTGAATAGTTCGATTTTAGATCATGCCATTGTGGAAGGCAAGAGTGGAACTATAAATAAAGAGTTAGATTTTAGATCATGGCATTGTGGAAGGCAAGGGAGGGGGAAGTTCATAAAAAGTCAGATTTTAGATCAAAGTTTTAAAATAAAGAGTTGGATTTTAGACCGTGGCATTGTGGAAGGCAATGGGGGGAAGTGTAAATAAAGAGTTGGAATTTAGATCATGGCATTGTGGAAGGCAAGCGGGAGGAAGTTTAAATAAAGAGTTAGATTTTGCATCATGGCATTGTGGAAGGCAGGGGGGGAAGTTCAAATAAAGAGTTGGAATTTAGATCATGGCATTGTGGAAGGCAAGGGGGGGAAGTTGAAATAAAGAGTTAGAATTTAGATCATGGCATTGTGGAAGGCAAGGAGGGAAGTTTAAGTTAGATTTTAGACCATGGCATGGTGGAAGGCAGGGGGGAAATTTTGAAGAGTTCGATTTTAGATCATGCCATTGTGGAAGGTAAATAAAGAGTTAGATTTTAGATCATGGCATTGTGGAAGGCAAGGGAGGGGGAAGTTCATAAAAAGTCAGATTTTAGATCAAAGTTTTAAAATAAAGAGTTGGATTTTAGACCATGGCATTGTGGAAGGCAAGCGGGGGAAGTGTAAATAAAGAGTTGGAATTTAGATCATGGCATTGTGGAAGGCAAGCGGGAGGAAGTTTAAATAAAGAGTTAGATTTTGCATCATGGCATTGTGGAAGGCAGGGGGGGAAGTTCAAATAAAGAGTTGGAATTTAGATCATGGCATTGTGGAAGGCAAGGGGGGGAAGTTTAAATAAAGAGTTAGAATTTAGATCATGGCATTGTGGAAGGCAAGGAGGGAAGTTTAAATAAAGAGTTAGATTTTAGATCATGGCATTGTGGAAGGCAGGGGGATGAAATTTAAACAAAGAGTTGGAATTTAGATCATGGCATTGTGGAAGGCAAGCGGGGGGAAGTTTAAGTTAGATTTTAGACCATGGCATGGTGGAAGGCAGGGGGGAAATTTTGAAGAGTTCGATTTTAGATCATGCCATTGTGGAAGGCAAGAGTGGAACTACAAATAAACAGTAGATTTTAGATCATGGCATTGTGGAAGGCAAGGGAGGGGGAAGTTCATAAAAAGTCAGATTTTAGACTCAAGTTTTAAAAACAAGAGTTGGATTTTAGACCATGGCATTGTGGAAGGCAAGCGGGAGGAAGTTTAAATAAAGAGTTAGATTTTGCATCATGGCATTGTGGAAGGCAGGGGAGGAAGTGTAAATAAAGAGTTGGAATTTAGATCATGGCATTGTCGAAGGCAAAGGAGAAGTTTAAATAAAGAGTTCGATTTTAGATCATGGCATTGTGGAAGGCAAGGGGGGGAATTTA